GTCCTCCCCTTGGGCAGCGGGTAGCTGACCGGCCAACATGGGTCTGTAGAAGGCCTCAGGCGACTTGAGAATGGAATCTCTCTCTCTCTCTCTCCCGCTGAGCATGCTACTGATGCAATATCGCAAATCTGGCTCCATTACCATCAAGGTATACCACTAAATGGTCCTTGTGCTGAGCATCAGGTTGGGAGGGCTGTTCCTCATGGAGCTGCGCGCGCAAACGGTTTGGGTCCGAAACCGCCAGGCTCGCCAGGAACAGGTTGAGCCTCTGCAGAAGTGAGGCCACAAAGTCCGTTCAACTTCTAACCTAGCTAACCATTTAGAGCGCGTCTTACTCTATTCTGCCCTGCAGGGGCAGCTCCAATCCGACCGTCGTCACGGCCGGCTGGAAGGAAAAAGAAGGTGCAGGCTCACGGGGGATGGTCTCTCCTCCCCCTCCACACCCTCCACCACCTTCCTCCTCCTTGGGCAGCGGGTAGCTGACCGGCCAACATGGGTCTGTAGAAGGCCTCAGGCGACTTGGAAATGGAATCTCTCTCTCTCTCTCTCTCCCGCTGAGCATGCTACTGATGCAATATCGCAAATCTGGCTCCATTACCCATCAAGGTATACCTCTAAATGGTCCTTGTGCTGAGCATCAGGTTGGGAGGGCTGTTCCTCATGGAGCTGCGCGCGCAAACGGTTTGGGTCCGAAACCGCCAGGCTCGCCAGGAACAGGTTGGCCTCTGCAGAAGTGGGCCACAAAGTCCGTTCAACTTCTAACCTAGCTAACCATTTAGAGCGCGTCTTACTCTATTCTGCCCTGCAGGGGCAGCCCAACCCGACCGCGTCACGGCCGGCTGGAAGGAAAACGAAGGTGCAGGCCCAGGGGGATGGTCTCTCCTCCCCCTCCACACCCTCCACCACCTTCCTCCCCTTGGGCAGCGGGTAGCTGACCGGCCAACCTGGGTTTGTAGAAGGCCTCAGGCGACTTGGAGATGGAATCTCTCTCTCTCTCTCTCTCCCGCTGAGCATGCTACTGATGCAATATCGCAAATCTGGCTCCATTACCATCAAGGTATACCACTAAATGGTCCTTGTGCTGAGCATCAGGTTGGGAGGGCTGTTCCTCATGGAGCTGCGCGCGCAAACGGTTTGGGTCCGAAACCGCCAGGCTCGCCAGGAACAGGTTGGCCTCTGCAGAAGTGGGCCACAAAGTCCGTTCAACTTCTAACCTAGCTAACCATTTAGAGCGCGTCTTACTCTATTCTGCCCTGCAGGGGCAGCCCAATCCGACCGCGTCACGGCCGGCTGGAAGGAAAAAGAAGGTGCAGGCTCAGGGGGATGGTCTCTCCTCCCCCTCCACACCCTCCACCACCTTCCTCCCCTTGGGCAGCGGGTAGCTGACCGGCCAACCTGGGTCTGTAGAAGGCCTCAGGCGACTTGGAAATGGAATCTCTCTCTCTCTCTCTCTCCCGCTGAGCATGCTACTGATGCAATATCGCAAATCTGGCTCCATTACCATCAAGGTATACCACTAAATGGTGCTTGTGCTGAGCATCAGGTTGGGAGGGCTGTTCCTCATGGAGCTGCGCGCGCAAACGGTTTGGGTCCGAAACCGCCAGGCTCGCCAGGAACAGGTTGGCCTCTGCAGAAGTGGGCCACAAAGTCCGTTCAACTTCTAACCTAGCTAACCATTTAGAGCGCGTCTTACTCTATTCTGCCCTGCAGGGGCAGCCCAACCCGACCGCGTCACGGCCGGCTGGAAGGAAAACGAAGGTGCAGGCCCAGGGGGATGGTCTCTCCTCCCCCTCCACACCCTCCACCACCTTCCTCCCCTTGGGCAGCGGGTAGCTGACCGGCCAACATGGGTCTGTAGAAGGCCTCAGGCGACTTGAAAATGGAATCTCTCTCTCTCTCTCTCTCCCGCTGAGCATGCTACTGATGCAATATCGCAAATCTGGCTCCATTACCATCAAGGTATACCACTAAATGGTGCTTGTGCTGAGCATCAGGTTGGGAGGGCTGTTCCTCATGGAGCTGCGCGCGCAAACGGTTTGGGTCCGAAACCGCCAGGCTCGCCAGGAACAGGTTGGCCTCTGCAGAAGTGGGCCACAAAGTCCGTTCAACTCCTAACCTAGCTAACCATTTAGAGCGCGTCTTACTCTATTCTGCCCTGCAGGGGCAGCCCAATCCGACCGCGTCACGGCCGGCTGGAAGGAAAAAGAAGGTGCAGGCTCAGGGGGATGGTCTCTCCTCCCCCTCCACACCCTCCACCACCTTCCTCCCCTTGGGCAGCGGGTAGCTGACCGGCCAACCTGGGTTTGTAGAAAGCCTCAGCGACTTGGAGATGGAATCTCTCTCTCTCTCTCTCTCCCGCTCAGCATGCTACTGATGCAATATCGCAAATCTGGCTCCATTACCATCAAGGTATACCACTAAATGGTCCTTGTGCTGAGCATCAGGTTGGGAGGGCTGTTCCTCATGGAGCTGCGCGCGCAAACGGTTTGGGTCCGAAACCGCCAGGCTCGCCAGGAACAGGTTGGCCTCTGCAGAAGTGGGCCACAAAGTCCGTTCAACTTCTAACCTAGCTAACCATTTAGAGCGCGTCTTACTCTATTCTGCCCTGCAGGGGCAGCCCAATCCGACCGCGTCACGGCCGGCTGGAAGGAAAAAGAAGGTGCAGGCTCAGGGGGATGGTCTCTCCTCCCCCTCCACACCCTCCACCACCTTCCTCCCCTTGGGCAGCGGGTAGCTGACCGGCCAACATGGGTCTGTAGAAGGCCTCAGGCGACTTGGAAATGGAATCTCTCTCTCTCTCTCTCTCCCGCTGAGCATGCTACTGATGCAATATCGCAAATCTGGCTCCATTACCATCAAGGTATACCACTAAATGGTCCTTGTGCTGAGCATCAGGTTGGGAGGGCTGTTCCTCATGGAGCTGCGCGCGCAAACGGTTTGGGTCCGAAACCGCCAGGCTCGCCAGGAACAGGTTGGCCTCTGCAGAAGTGGGCCACAAAGTCCGTTCAACTTCTAACCTAGCTAACCATTTAGAGCGCGTCTTACTCTATTCTGCCCTGCAGGGGCAGCCCAATCCGACCGCGTCACGGCCGGCTGGAAGGAAAAAGAAGGTGCAGGCTCAGGGGGATGGTCTCTCCTCCCCCTCCACACCCTCCACCACCTTCCTCCCCTTGGGCAGCGGGTAGCTGACCGGCCAACATGGGTCTGTAGAAGGCCTCAGGCGATTTGGAAATGGAATCTCTCTCTCTCTCTCTCTCCCGCTGAGCATGCTACTGATGCAATATCGCAAATCTGGCTCCATTACCATCAAGGTATACCACTAAATGGTGCTTGTGCTGAGCATCAGGTTGGGAGGGCTGTTCCTCATGGAGCTGCGCGCGCAAACGGTTTGGGTCCGAAACCGCCAGGCTCGCCAGGAACAGGTTGGCCTCTGCAGAAGTGGGCCACAAAGTCCGTTCAACTCCTAACCTAGCTAACCATTTAGAGCGCGTCTTACTCTATTCTGCCCTGCAGGGGCAGCCCAATCCGACCGCGTCACGGTCGGCTGGAAGGAATGAGAAGGTGCAGGCTCAGGGGGATGGTCTCTCCTCCCCCTCCACACCCTCCACCACCTTCCTCCCCTTGGGCAGCGGGTAGCTGACCGGCCAACCTGGGTCTGTTCAAGGCCTCTCGCTACTTGGAAATGGAATCTCTCTCTCTCTCTCTCTCCCCTTCATCTCGCTTGTGATACCATATCCCGCATCTGGCTCCTTTACCATCAAGGTATACCACTAAATGGTCCTTGTGCTGACTATCCTGTTGGGAGGGATGTTCCTCCTGGATGAGCACGCGCGGACCGTTTGGGTCCGAAACCGCCTGGCTCACCACGAACAAGTTGGCCTCTGCCTAAGTGGCAAAGTCCGTTCAACTTCTAACCTAGCTAACCATTTAGAGCGCGTCTTACTCTATTCTGCCCTGCAGGGGCAGCCCAATCCGACCGCGTCACGGGCCGGCTGGAAAGGAAAAAGAAGGTGCAGGCTCAGGGGGGGGAAATCTCCTATCCCTCCACACCCTCCACCACCTTCTCCCCTTTGGGCAGCGGGTAGCTGACCGCCCCAACATGGGTCTTGTAGAAGGCCTCAGGCGACTTGGAAATGGAATCTCTCTCTCTCTCTCTCTCCCGCTGAGCATGCTACTGATGCAATATCGCAAATCTGGCTCCATTACCATCAAGGTATACCTCTAAATGGTCCTTGTGCTGAGCATCAGGTTGGGAGGGCTGTTCCTCATGGAGCTGCGCGCGCAAACGGTTTGGGTCCGAAACCGCCAGGCTCGCCAGGAACAGGTTGGCCTCTGCAGAAGTGGGCCACAAAGTCCGTTCAACTTCTAACCTAGCTAACCATTTAGAGCGCGTCTTACTCTATTCTGCCCTGCAGGGGCAGCCCAACCCGACCGCGTCACGGCCGGCTGGAAGGAAAACGAAGGTGCAGGCCCAGGGGGATGGTCTCTCCTCCCCCTCCACACCCTCCACCACCTTCCTCCCCTTGGGCAGCGGGTAGCTGACCGGCCAACATGGGTCTGTAGAAGGCCTCAGGCGACTTGAGAATGGAATCTCTCTCTCTCTCTCTCCCGCTGAGCATGCTACTGATGCAATATCGCAAATCTGGCTCCATTACCATCAAGGTATACCACTAAATGGTGCTTGTGCTGAGCATCAGGTTGGGAGGGCTGTTCCTCATGGACCTGCGCGCGCAAACGGTTTGGGTCCGAAACCGCCAGGCTCGCCAGGAACAGGTTGGCCTCTGCAGAAGTGGGCCACAAAGTCCGTTCAACTTCTAACCTAGCTAACCATTTAGAGCGCGTCTTACTCTATTCTGCCCTGCAGGGGCAGCCCAATCCGACCGCGTCACGGCCGGCTGGAAGGAAAAAGAAGGTGCAGGGCCAGGGGGATGGTCCCGCTGAGCATGCTACTGATGCAATATCGCAAATCTGGCTCCATTACTATCAAGGTATACTACTAAATGGTGCTTGTGCTGAGCATCAGGTTGGGAGGGCTGTTCCTCATGGAGCTGCGCGCGCAGACGGGTTGGGTCCAAGTGGGGCCGAGAGGCTTGGTCCAGCTGATGATGCTACCAATGCACTGGCCCAAATCTGGCTTGATTACCATCAAGGTATACTATCATATGTTCCCTGTGCAAAGCGGTAGGTCAGTAGCCCTGTTCCTCATGGAGCTGTGCGCGCAGACGGGTTGGGTCCAAGTCGGGCCGAGAGGCTTGGTCCAGCTGATGATGATACCGATGCACTGGCCCAAATCTGGCTCCATTACCATCAAGGTATACTATCATATGTTCCCTCCGCCAAGCGGTAGGTCAGTAGCCCTGTTCCTCATGGAGCTGTGCGCGCAGACGGGTTGGGTCCAAGTGGGGCCGAGAGGCTTGGTCCAGCTGATGATGATACCGATGCACTGGCCCAAATCTGGCTCCATTACCATCAAGCTATACTATCATATGTTCCCTGTGCCAAGCGGCAGGTCAGTAGCCCAGTTCCTCATGGAGCTGTGCGCGCAGACGGGTTGGGTCCAAGTGGGGACGAGAGGCTTGGTCTGGCTGAGGATGCCACTGCTGCACTGGCCCAAATCTGGCTCCACTACCATCAAGGTATACTATTGTATGGTCCCTGTGCCAAGCAGTAGGTCAGTAGCCCTGTTCCTCATGGAGCTGTGCGCGCAGACGGGTTGGGTCCAAGTCGGGCCGAGAGGCTTGGTCTGGCTGAGGATGCTACCGATGCACTGGCCCAAATCGGGCTCCGCCACCATCAAGGTATACTATCATATGTTCCCTGTGCAAAGCGGTAGGTCAGTAGCCCTGTTCCTCATGGAGCTGTGCGCGCAGACGGGTTGGGTCCAAGTCGGGCTGAGAGGCTTGGTCTGGCTGAGGATGCCACTGCTGCACTGGCCCAAATCGGGCTCCATTACCATCAAGGTATACTATCATATGTTCCCTGTGCCAAGCAGTAGGTCAGTAGCCCTGTTCCTCATGGAGCTGTGCGCGCAGACGGGTTGGGTCCGAGTGGCGCCGAGAGGCTTGGTCTGGCTGAGGATGCTACTGCTGCACTGGCCCAAATCTGGCTCCATTACCATCAAGGTATACTATTGTATGGTCCCTGTGCCAAGCGGTAGGTCAGTAGCCCTGTTCCTCATGGAGCTGTGCGCGCAGACAGGTTGGGTCCGAGTGGGGCCGAGAGGCTTGGTCTGGCTGAGAATGCTACCAATGCACTGGCCCGGATGGCTCCATTACCGTCAAGGTATACTATCAAATGGTTCCTGTGCCAAGCAGTAGGTCAGTAGCCCAGTTCCTCATGGAGCTGTGCGCGCAGACGGGTTGGGTCCGAGTGGCGCCGAGAGGCTTGGTCTGGCTGAGGATGCTACTGCTGCACTGGCCCAAATCTGGCTCCATTACCATCAAGGTATACTATTGTATGGTCCCTGTGCCAAGCGGTAGGTCAGTAGCCCTGTTCCTCATGGAGCTGTGCGCGCAGACAGGTTGGGTCCGAGTGGGGCCGAGAGGCTTGGTCTGGCTGAGGATGCCACTGCTGCACTGGCCCAAATCGGGCTCCATTACCGTCAAGGTATACTATCAAATGGTTCCTGTGCCAAGCAGTAGGTCAGTAGCCCAGTTCCTCATGGAGCTGTGCGCGCAGACGGGTTTGGTCCAAGTGGGGACGAGAGGCTTGGTCTGGCTGAGGATGCTAATGATGCACTGGCCCAAATCTGGCTCCATTACCATCAAGGTATACTATTGTAAGGTCCCTGTGCCAAGCAGTAGGTCAGTAGCCCTGTTCCTCATGGAGCTGTGCTCGCAGACGGGTTGGGTCCAAGTCGGGCCGAGAGGCTTGGTCTGGCTGAGGATGCTAATGATGCACTGGCCCAAATCTGGCTCCGCTACCATCAAGGTATACTATCATATGTTCCCTGTGCAAAGCGGTAGGTCAGTAGCCCTGTTCCTCATGGAGCTGTGCGCGCAGACGGGTTGGGTCCAAGTCGGGCCGAGAGGCTTGGTCTGGCTGAGGATGCTAATGATGCACTGGCCCAAATCTGGCTCCGCTACCATCAAGGTATACTATCATATGTTCCCTGTGCAAAGCGGTAGGTCAGTAGCCCTGTTCCTCATGGAGCTGTGCGCGCAGACAGGTTGGGTCCGAGTGGGGCCGAGAGGCTTGGTCTGGCTGAGAATGCTACCAATGCACTGGCCCGGATGGCTCCATTACCGTCAAGGTATACTATCATATGTTCCCTGTGCAAAGCGGTAGGTCAGTAGCCCAGTTCCTCATGGAGCTGTGCGCGCAGACGGGTTTGGTCCAAGTGGGGACGAGAGGCTTGGTCTGGCTGAGGATGCTAATGATGCACTGGCCCAAATCTGGCTCCACTACCATCAAGGTATACTATTGTATGGTCCCTGTGCCAAGCAGTAGGTCAGTAGCCCTGTTCCTCATGGAGCTGTGCGCGCAGACGGGTTGGGTCCGAGTGGCGCCGAGAGGCTTGGTCTGGCTGAGGATGCTACTGCTGCACTGGCCCAAATCTGGCTCCATTACCATCAAGGTATACTATTGTATGGTCCCTGTCCAAGCAGTAGGTCAGTAGTCCTGTTCCTCATGGAGCTGTGCGCGCAGACGGGGTGAGGTCCAAGTTGGGGCCGAGAGGCTTGGTCTGGCTGAGGATGCTACTGCTGCACTGGCCCAAATCTGGCTCCACTACCATCAAGGTATACTATCATATGTTCCCTGTGCCAAGCGGTAGGTCAGTAGCCCTGTTCCTCATGGAGCTGTGCGCGCAGACGGGTTGGGTCCGAGTCGCGCCGAGAGGCTTGGTCTGGCTGAGGATGCTACCAATGCACTGGCCCGAATCTGGCTCCATTACCATCAAGGTATACTATCATATGTTCCCTGTGCAAAGCGGTAGGTCAGTAGCCCTGTTCCTCATGGAGCTGTGCGCGCAGACGGGTTCGGTCCAAGTGGGGACGAGAGGCTTGGTCTGGCTGAGGATGCTAATGATGCACTGGCCCACATCTGGCTCCACTACCATCAAGGTATACTATTGTATGGTCCCTGTGCAAAGCGGTAGGTCAGTAGCCCAGTTCCTCATGGAGCTGTGCGCGCAGACGGGTTGGGTCCAAGTGGGGCCGAGAGGCTTGGTCCGGCTGATGATGCTACCGATGCACTGGCCCGAATCTGGCTCCATTACCATCAAGGTATACTATTGTATGGTCCCTGTGTCAAGCGGTAGGTCAGTAGCCCTGTTCCGCATGGAGCTGTGCGCGCAGACGGGTTGGGTCCAAGTGGGGCCAAGAGGCCTGGTCCGGCTGATGATGCTACCGATGCACTGGCCCGAATCTGGCTCCGCTACCATCAAGGTATACTATTGTATGTTCCCTCCGCCAAGCGGTAGGTCAGTAGCCCAGTTCCTCATGGAGCTGTGCGCGCAGACAGGTTGGGTCCGAGTGGGGCCGAGAGGCTTGGTCCAGCTGAGGATGCCACTGCTGCACTGGCCCAAATCGGGCTCCATTACCGTCAAGGTATACTATCAAATGGTTCCTGTGCCAAGCAGTAGGTCAGTAGCCCAGTTCCTCATGGAGCTGTGCGCGCAGACGGGTTTGGTCCAAGTGGGGACGAGAGGCTTGGTCTGGCTGAGGATGCCACTGCTGCACTGGCCCAAATCTGGCTCCACTACCATCAAGGTATACTATTGTATGGTCCCTGTGCCAAGCAGTAGGTCAGTAGCCCTGTTCCTCATGGAGCTGTGCGCGCAGACGGGTTGGGTCCAAGTCGGGCCGAGAGGCTTGGTCTGGCTGAGGATGCTACCGATGCACTGGCCCAAATCGGGCTCCGCCACCATCAAGGTATACTATCATATGTTCCCTGTGCAAAGCGGTAGGTCAGTAGCCCTGTTCCTCATGGAGCTGTGCGCGCAGACGGGTTGGGTCCAAGTCGGGCTGAGAGGCTTGGTCTGGCTGAGGATGCCACTGCTGCACTGGCCCAAATCGGGCTCCATTACCATCAAGGTATACTATCATATGTTCCCTGTGCCAAGCAGTAGGTCAGTAGCCCTGTTCCTCATGGAGCTGTGCGCGCAGACGGGTTGGGTCCGAGTGGCGCCGAGAGGCTTGGTCTGGCTGAGGATGCTACTGCTGCACTGGCCCAAATCTGGCTCCATTACCATCAAGGTATACTATTGTATGGTCCCTGTGCCAAGCGGTAGGTCAGTAGCCCTGTTCCTCATGGAGCTGTGCGCGCAGACAGGTTGGGTCCGAGTGGGGCCGAGAGGCTTGGTCTGGCTGAGAATGCTACCAATGCACTGGCCCGGATGGCTCCATTACCGTCAAGGTATACTATCATATGTTCCCTGTGCCAAGCGGTAGGTCAGTAGCCCTGTTCCTCAAGGAGCTGTGCGCGCAGACGGGTTCGGTCCAAGTGTGGACTAGAGGCTTAGTCTGGCTGAGGATGCTAATGATGCACTGGCCCACATCTGGCTCCACTACCATCAAGGTATACTATTGTATGGTCCCTGTGCAAAGCGGTAGGTCAGTAGCCCAGTTCCTCATGGAGCTGTGCGCGCAGACGGGTTGGGTCCAAGTGGGGCCGAGAGGCTTGGTCCGGCTGATGATGCTACCGATGCACTGGCCCGAATCTGGCTCCATTACCATCAAGGTATACTATTGTATGGTCCCTGTGTCAAGCGGTAGGTCAGTAGCCCTGTTCCGCATGGAGCTGTGCGCGCAGACGGGTTGGGTCCAAGTGGGGCCAAGAGGCCTGGTCCGGCTGATGATGCTACCGATGCACTGGCCCGAATCTGGCTCCGCTACCATCAAGGTATACTATTGTATGTTCCCTCCGCCAAGCGGTAGGTCAGTAGCCCAGTTCCTCATGGAGCTGTGCGCGCAGACGGGTTGGGTCCAAGTGGGGCCGAGAGGCTTGGTCCAGCTGATGATGCTACCGATGCACTGGCCCAAATCTGGCTCCGCTACCATCAAGGTATACTATCATATGTTCCCTGTGCCAAGCAGTAGGTCAGTAGCCCTGTTCCTCATGGAGCTGTGCGCGCAGACGGGTTTGGTCCAAGTGGGGACGAGAGGCTTGGTCTGGCTGAGGATGCTAATGATGCACTGGCCCAAATCTGGCTCCATTACCATCAAGGTATACTATTGTAAGGTCCCTGTGCCAAGCAGTAGGTCAGTAGCCCTGTTCCTCATGGAGCTGTGCGCGCAGACGGGTTGGGTCCAAGTCGGGCCGAGAGGCTTGGTCTGGCTGAGGATGCTAATGATGCACTGGCCCAAATCTGGCTCCGCTACCATCAAGGTATACTATCATATGTTCCCTGTGCAAAGCGGTAGGTCAGTAGCCCTGTTCCTCATGGAGCTGTGCGCGCAGACGGGTTGGGTCCAAGTCGGGCCGAGAGGCTTGGTCTGGCTGAGGATGCTACTGATGCACTGGCCCAAATCTGGCTCCGCTACCATCAGGGTATACTATCATATGTTCCCTGTGCAAAGCGGGTAGGTCAGTAGCCCTGTTCCTCATGGAGCTGTGCGCGCAGACGGGGTTGGGTCCGAGTGGGGGCCGAAAGGCTTGGTCTGGCTGAGGATGCTAATGATGCACTGGCCCACATCTGGCTCCACTACCATCAAGGTATACTATTGTATGGTCCCTGTGCAAAGCGGTAGGTCAGTAGCCCAGTTCCTCATGGAGCTGTGCGCGCAGACGGGTTGGGTCCAAGTGGGGCCGAGAGGCTTGGTCCGGCTGATGATGCTACCGATGCACTGGCCCGAATCTGGCTCCATTACCATCAAGGTATACTATTGTATGGTCCCTGTGTCAAGCGGTAGGTCAGTAGCCCTGTTCCTCATGGAGCTGTGCGCGCAGACGGGTTCGGTCCAAGTGGGGACGAGAGGCTTGGTCTGGCTGAGGATGCCACTGCTGCACTGGCCCAAATCTGGCTCCACTACCATCAAGGTATACTATTGTATGGTCCCTGTGCCAAGCAGTAGGTCAGTAGCCCTGTTCCTCATGGAGCTGTGCGCGCAGACGGGTTGGGTCCAAGTCGGGCCGAGAGGCTTGGTCTGGCTGAGGATGCTAATGATGCACTGGCCCAAATCTGGCTCCGCTACCATCAAGGTATACTATCATATGTTCCCTGTGCAAAGCGGTAGGTCAGTAGCCCTGTTCCTCATGGAGCTGTGCGCGCAGACGGGTTGGGTCCAAGTCGGGCCGAGAGGCTTGGTCTGGCTGAGGATGCTAATGATGCACTGGCCCAAATCTGGCTCCGCTACCATCAAGGTATACTATCATATGTTCCCTGTGCAAAGCGGTAGGTCAGTAGCCCTGTTCCTCATGGAGCTGTGCGCGCAGACAGGTTGGGTCCGAGTGGGGCCGAGAGGCTTGGTCTGGCTGAGAATGCTACCAATGCACTGGCCCGGATGGCTCCATTACCGTCAAGGTATACTATCATATGTTCCCTGTGCAAAGCGGTAGGTCAGTAGCCCAGTTCCTCATGGAGCTGTGCGCGCAGACGGGTTTGGTCCAAGTGGGGACGAGAGGCTTGGTCTGGCTGAGGATGCTAATGATGCACTGGCCCAAATCTGGCTCCACTACCATCAAGGTATACTATTGTATGGTCCCTGTGCCAAGCAGTAGGTCAGTAGCCCTGTTCCTCATGGAGCTGTGCGCGCAGACGGGTTGGGTCCGAGTGGCGCCGAGAGGCTTGGTCTGGCTGAGGATGCTACTGCTGCACTGGCCCAAATCTGGCTCCATTACCATCAAGGTATACTATTGTATGGTCCCTGTGCCAAGCAGTAGGTCAGTAGCCCTGTTCCTCATGGAGCTGTGCGCGCAGACGGGTTGGGTCCAAGTCGGGCCGAGAGGCTTGGTCTGGCTGAGGATGCTACTGCTGCACTGGCCCAAATCTGGCTCCACTACCATCAAGGTATACTATTGTATGGTCCCTGTGCCAAGCAGTAGGTCAGTAGCCCTGTTCCTCATGGAGCTGTGCGCGCAGACGGGTTGGGTCCGAGTCGCGCCGAGAGGCTTGGTCTGGCTGAGGATGCTACCAATGCACTGGCCCGAATCTGGCTCCATTACCATCAAGGTATACTATCATATGTTCCCTGTGCAAAGCGGTAGGTCAGTAGCCCTGTTCCTCATGGAGCTGTGCGCGCAGACGGGTTCGGTCCAAGTGGGGACGAGAGGCTTGGTCTGGCTGAGGATGCTAATGATGCACTGGCCCAAATCTGGCTCCACTACCATCAAGGTATACTATTGTATGGTCCCTGTGCCAAGCAGTAGGTCAGTAGCCCTGTTCCTCATGGAGCTGTGCGCGCAGACGGGTTGGGTCCGAGTGGCGCCGAGAGGCTTGGTCTGGCTGAGGATGCTACTGCTGCACTGGCCCAAATCTGGCTCCATTACCATCAAGGTATACTATTGTATGGTCCCTGTGCCAAGCAGTAGGTCAGTAGCCCTGTTCCTCATGGAGCTGTGCGCGCAGACGGGTTGGGTCCAAGTCGGGCCGAGAGGCTTGGTCTGGCTGAGGATGCTACTGCTGCACTGGCCCAAATCTGGCTCCACTACCATCAAGGTATACTATTGTATGGTCCCTGTGCCAAGCAGTAGGTCAGTAGCCCTGTTCCTCATGGAGCTGTGCGCGCAGACGGGTTGGGTCCGAGTCGGGCCGAGAGGCTTGGTCTGGCTGAGGATGCTACCGATGCACTGGCCCAAATCGGGCTCCGCCACCATCAAGGTATACTATCATATGTTCCCTGTGCAAAGCGGTAGGTCAGTAGCCCTGTTCCTCATGGAGCTGTGCGCGCAGACGGGTTGGGTCCAAGTCGGGCTGAGAGGCTTGGTCTGGCTGAGGATGCCACTGCTGCACTGGCCCAAATCGGGCTCCATTACCATCAAGGTATACTATCATATGTTCCCTGTGCCAAGCAGTAGGTCAGTAGCCCTGTTCCTCATGGAGCTGTGCGCGCAGACGGGTTGGGTCCGAGTGGCGCCGAGAGGCTTGGTCTGGCTGAGGATGCTACTGCTGCACTGGCCCAAATCTGGCTCCATTACCATCAAGGTATACTATTGTATGGTCCCTGTGCCAAGCGGTAGGTCAGTAGCCCTGTTCCTCATGGAGCTGTGCGCGCAGACAGGTTGGGTCCGAGTGGGGCCGAGAGGCTTGGTCTGGCTGAGAATGCTACCAATGCACTGGCCCGGATGGCTCCATTACCGTCAAGGTATACTATCATATGTTCCCTGTGCCAAGCGGTAGGTCAGTAGCCCTGTTCCGCATGGAGCTGTGCGCGCAGACGGGTTCGGTCCAAGTCAGGCTGAGAGGCTTGGTCCAGCTGATGATGCTACCAATGCACTGGCCCAAATCTGGCTCCACTACCATCAAGGTATACTATTGTATGGTCCCTGTGCCAAGCGGTAGGTCAGTAGCCCTGTTCTGCATGGAGCTGTGCGCGCAGACGGGTTGGGTCCAAGTCGGGCTGAGAGGCTTGGTCCAGCTGATGATGCTACCAATGCACTGGCCCAAATCTGGCTTGATTACCATCAAGGTATACTATCATATGTTCCCTGTGCCAAGCGGTAGGTCAGTAGCCCTGTTCCTCATGAACACCAAGGGTTTGCGTCCGAGATGGTCAGGCTCGCCAGGAACAGGTTTACCTTTGCAGAACTGGGCCACAAGCTCCGTTCAACCTTTACCCCAGCTAACCGATTAGAGGGCTTCTTACTCTATTCTGCCCTGCAAGGGCAGCCCAATCCGACCGCGTCACGGCCGGCTCCGTTGCAACACCGTCGGGAGGTACCGCTGAGCCTGCAAGTCCTTGCCATTGCCCTGTCCCACCTCTGCGCTATCCTGTCTTAGTTGCATCAGAGCTGTTTTACCTTAACTTTGCCATTGTCCATAAGTCCCCACAAGCAAAAGACTTTGATAGAGAGAGAGAGAGAGAGAGAGAGAGAGAGAGAGAGAGAGAGAGAGAGAGAGAGAGAGAGAGAGAGAGAGAGAGAGAGAGAGACAGAGACAGAAGGGAGAGAGAGGGAGGGAGAGAGAGATTCACAAGGGGAGGAGGAGGAGCGGCCTGCCGGCCTCGGCAGCCGGCCGCGGCCTCGGCCCTCCCGGCACAGCCTTTCGACCATCTTTGCTCTCTCGGCTTTCCCTCTCACCCCTTGCCTCACCCTCTTTTGTATACCAACCTTCTCAGACAGAGCCGCCTCGTTGCCTCTTCTCACCGCTGTTAGGTTCCTCTGCCCACGATCCCTGCCAAAGTCAACCTGCTTGCGCTGCGACGGACAGAGAACCGAACACTGGATTGACCATAGTTGCAACACCGGCCCCTGAGAGAAAGACTACGAGCCCCCTTGACGCTAACGCACGCTCTCGCCGAATGCCCCTGCAGGTTGGACATACCTGTAAAGGGTGCAACGGTGGGCGTGAGCGCAGAACGAGGGGAGCAAAGGAGGGCCGAAAGGAGGACGCACGAGAAGCCGACAAACTGCTGTTGCACCGTCTCGGACAGGTGCGAGTCCTCGACGACCGAATCTTGTGGTGCCTCGGACGTGAACTCGGTGTCGAACTGCGCGGCAGGGACGCAAGAGATAAGTCAGTGACCGCGAGCGACGCCGGGAGAGGAGAGGGACGAGGCAAAGGGGACGCACGTTGCTCGTGTCGGCGGCGCTCTCGACGCTCGGCTTGAACGGCGGCTGGATCTTCTTCTGCATGAGCTTCTTGAAGTCGATGTGCTTGGCAAAGAAAGGGTGCGTCCGGATCGATTCGGCGCCCGTGACGCCGAGGCGCTGCTGCGGGTCGCGCGTGAGCAGGCCCGTGAGGAGCGAGCGCGCGTCGGGCGAGATCTCGTCGCCGAAGCGCAACGGGTCGGTGAGGATCTGCGGGGAGCGAGGCAAGTCAGGGCGGGCGATCGGTGGGGGCGACGAGGCTGGACGCAGGGCGGCGGCGTACCTTCTGGTACATCTCGTTCGTGTTCTCCGAGTAGAAGGGCGGCAGGCCCGAGAGCATCTCGTACAGGAGCACGCCGAGAGTCCACCAGTCGACCTGCGAGTGCAAGAGGGTGAGTCTGGGAGGCAGGACGACCGGAGCGAGGAGCTCGTGGAAGGACAACGAGGGACGGACCGTCTTCTGGTACCCATGGCCGAGCAGCAGTTCCGGCGCCAGGTACTCGGGCGTGCCGCAGAAGGCTGTAAAGGCGCGTGTCGAGGGGCAGGAGTAGGGAGGCGAGAGCGGCGAGAGGTGGGGAGGGAGGAAGGATGGGAGGGTGGGTACGGTCAGCGCTCCGAGCCGCGACATTGCCGCCGGCCTCGGCGACGAGACGTTGCGCAAGGGGAACAGGCGGGACGCACTGTTGGTCGTCTCGCTCTCGCTCATGTTGAGCTTGCACAGGCCAAAGTCGCACAAGGCGATGTGGCCCACGTAGTCGATAAGGATGTTCTCCGGCTTAAGGTCGCTGCACGGTGGGACCGACGACGCGTCAGTGACGTGGTCGACGAGGAGGAGGAGGAGAGGAAGGAGGAAGGTGGGACGTACCGGTAGATGACGTTGAACTGGTGCAGGTGCTCGAGGGCGCACAGGAGCTCGGCGGCGTAGAACCGGCTGCGCTCCTCGTTGAAGCGGCCCTCGCGCTGCAGGTGGTGGAACAGCTCGCCGCCGTTGACGAACGCGAGGACGAGGTACAGCTTCTCGGCGTTCTGGAACGAGAACTTGAGCGGCACGATGAACGGGTTGTTGACTTGGGCGAGGACGGTGCGCTCGGCGAGCGTGTGCGTCACCTCTGAGCGCGAGACGATGTGCGCCTTGCGGATCGTCTTGAGCGCGTAGATGCGACCCGTGTCCTTCTTGCGGACCTGCATGACCTGCGGCGGCGAGGACAAGAGGTGTGAGCGAGGGGGTCGACTCGATGAAGGAGAGGCACGACGGCGCACCTTGCCGAACGAGCCCTTGCCGATGACCTTGAGGAGGTCAAAGTCGTTGATCGACAGGTGCTGCGTCTGCGAGCGGGAAGGCGGCGAGGTCAGTCGGCTGATCTGGTCAAGCGGGACTACCAGGGGGACGACACCGGGACGCACCGTCGCAGGCTTGTAGGTGACCTGGATGTGGAACTCGCCCGCACCGCTCGTCGCACGGAACCACTGGTCGGTCGGCTTGTTGGCGTCAAAGGCCGGGAGGAACCTGCGCACGATCGAGCAGTCAGCGAGGGGCACAAGGTTGACGTACGCATGTACAAGAGAACGGGGGACGCACTTCACACCTCCGAGGAAGAGGTCGTTGCCCATGTCGTTGCGGCTCTGGCCCGGGACGAGCGGCGACGTGCGCAGGTAGGCCGAGATCGAGACGTCCGAGATGCGCGAAACGTCGCTGCAGGCGCATATCAGGTCAATTCAGATACTCAGGCAGAGACGAGGACGTGGAAGAGGGACGCACAAATGGGCGCGGAACATCCAGGTCGGCGAGTTGAGCTCGCCACCGAGCGCGTCGATGAGGACCTCGTTCTTGTCAAACTCGAGGACGACGTAGCTGTGTGCGAGTAATGCAGGCGTGCGTCAGTCTCAGACCTCTCATCGCTATCGCCGTGCGAGCCGATGCGTCGTGTGCGACGAGGGGAGGAAAGGGGAGGAGGGTGGACGCACGGCAACCACCACATCTGCTTGCGCTGCAGGCTCTCGCGCCCTCCTCGAGCGAGCCCACCGTGCGCCTGGTCGACCGCGTCGCGGATGCCACTCGGGAGGACGACGCCCGTCGGGAGCGAGAGGTTGCGCGCCTCGACGACGCGGATGGTGAGGACGCCGGTGCGCGGCACGGGCGGGCCCGACGCGTCGGCGGCTTCGGGCTCGGGGCTCGGGACTGCGGGTGACGGGGCGTGCGACGAGGAAGCGGGCGTGGCGTGCGCCGAGCTGCGGCCGGTCGCGGCCTCCTTGATCTCTGCGCGCGCAGGAGGGGGGAAGGCTCAGTGACGAGAACTCGAGTCGCGGACCTCGCGCGACCTTGTCCGCCAGTCAGAGCCTCAAGTTTGTCCCCCATCTTTGCGCCGCGACGACTGCCCGAGCGGCCGACGAGCCTCTGCGTCGCCTCGCCTCGTCCTTGGCCTGGGCGGAGGACAGTGCCCGGCTGCGACCCGCGCGCGCTCGCCGGACAGGCCTCCCTCGCTCCGAGCTGCCCCGCAAAGCGCAGAGCCGTGTCCACCGCGCCCGCACAGGCCAGTGCCCGTCCTGCCACGACGTCCCGACTGATGACGAACTCGGCATTCGGCTCGCGCCCGCGCCCTCAACCCAGGACCGCCGAGACAGAGAGAGGTGCACGCACTCTTTCCGAACTTCCAGCTGGACATGGAGGGCGGTAGGCGCGACGAGTACTCGGCGAGCTGGTCGGGCGGGGTCGAGATGGCGGGGCGGCGAGGTGAACGAGGGCGAGGGGGGACTGGGCGGCGTGGTGCGAGGTGTGGGCGGTCTTTCGAGAAGTCGGCAAGCTGCGAGTGGCAGTCGAGAGCCGAGCAGCGGCGATGCGAAAGGAGAGAGCCCCGCTCCGTCCTCTTCTCGTGGAGGCGGGCCTCGTTCCCTTGTCTCTCACAACGCCACGGCTCTCTCTGAAGCGAGCGAGAACAGAAAGACTGCAAATGCGTTACAACAGACCGATCCGCCAGACTAAGCAGCGACCTCCTTCTTGGCCACCTCGCCCTCAACCGTCTTCGTCCCGACCGCCGCCGCCGTCGACGTCGTCGTCGCACTCACCCCAGCGCCGTTCATGGGCAGCTCGCGCACATAAGTGCTCGGGAACCAGCCCGTCGTGCCGTCCCTCTTGCGGCCCATCCACCACGTGCCCGTGACGGCGCCGCCGCCCTCGACCTTTGCCTCCTTGGCCTGGAGCGCGCGCTCGTCGCGGCTCGGGGCGAGGATGGCCATGATGTCGTCCTTGTTGAACGCCAGCTCCTTGTCGGCCGACTCGGGCGGGGGCGTGTAGGCGTACAGGGCGCGCACGAACGTGAGCTGGCTCGGGTCGAGTGCGGCCGCAGCGGCTAGGCCGGCGGCGGCGGCGGCGGGTTGCGGCGCCTGGAGGTGGAGCGGGATCGGGCGGCCGTAGGCGTCGAACTGGGGCTGGGGCGGGAGCTGGCCCGACGCGGCGAGGCGCTGCGCCTCGGCCTCCTGGCGCGCCGTGATGAGGCGCACGAGGCGGTTCATGAGCCAGGGGAGGCCGATCACGGTGAGGAAGAAGACGACGAGGGGCCGCTTCGACATCTTGGGCGCCGCTGCGCCCGCCGCGCCGTTGCCGTTGGGGCCCTTGGCCGAGCCGCCGCCGGCCTCGAACGCGCGGAAGCCGTCGGCCGAAATGGCGTCGCCGGGCGGGGTGCGGCCGACGAGGCGGTACAGGAGGCTCTTGCACCACCGCAGGAGGGCAAAGACGCTCAGGACCTGGCCGAGGTAGTTGCGCAGGTGGCCAAACTGCTCGGCGACGCCGATCATGGCAAAGAAGGACGAGTGGGTCGCCATGAAGGTCGACTCGAGCATCTGGGCGAACCCGCCGACAGCGCCGACGAGCGACTGGAGGATCTGGAACGTGGCGGCCGTGCCGTGCTCCATGCGCTGCGAGAGCGACATGTCGGCGCCGGGCATGCCGTACATGCCGGGCATGCCGCCCATGCCGCCGCCGTACATGCCGCCGCCCATGCCGCCCATGCCGGCGTACCCACCGCCGTACCCGCCGCCGTACATCGAGCTCATGCCGCCGTACCCGCCGCCGCCGTACATCGAGCTCATGCCGCCGTACCCGGAGCCGTAGCCCGTGCCGTAGCTCGAGCCGTACCGCGAGTACGGCGACGAGCCGTACGCGCCGCCAGCTGCGCCGTACGGCGAGGCGGTCGCGCCATAGGGCGACGCCATCTGTGTCGCACGAGAGAGTGAGTCATTGCCTGCGAGAGAGAAAGTAGCGAGAGAGGACGCACTGTCGACAGGGTCGAGTGGATAGCCGAGGTCGCACCTGAGGAAGGGGGCGAGCGAGGTCAGCCACCGGTCGAGAGAAGGGACGGCGACTCGCGAAAGGGGACGGACCAGTGGCCATGGTTGCGGGCCTGTCAGGCAGCGCAGGAGCGGCCGAGGACGCAGTGGTCGAGCTGGCCGGCGAGGCGAGCGTGGTCGCCGTGGTGGACGAAGGCAGGGCCGACGAGGCCGCCGAGGGGGCCTGGTTGCGCTCCCAAGGTTTAGGTGGAGGAGGAGCCATCTTGACGGCGCGCTTAAACGGGTCGAACGGTGGTGGTGGGCGGGGTTTTGGCGAAGGCGGCCGAGGAGGACGAGGCGAGGCGAGGGGGAGCTGGAGGCGGTGGGCGCGGTCGAGGTCGGGCGTGGGCGAGCTAGCTGAGGCGGGGTGGGTGCTCGACGCGGGCTGCACAGGTGCACGAGCTGTCGCACTGGGTGGTTCGTGGCAAGGCTGAGGCGGTGGGAACCAAGACCCGGTCCTCCTCGTCGCCTCGAGCCGGGCCCGGGCTTCGACCCACCTCGCTCTCGCTCCTGCACAGTCTCGCCCAACTCGTCTACACGAGGATGCACTCTAGCGGGCCAGTGCACTGCCCGCCCACGCGACCTGTGCGAGCGCTGGCGGGGACCTCCAACTGCTGCCCCCACGCTTCGCGCCGGCTCGAACTGTCGGCTCCGCACAGCTCTTGCTCTGCTCTACCACTGCCCAGTGCATGCGCACAGCTCTTGCGCACCTTCCCCGCCCGATCGCAGTCCGCCTGCACGCCCCGCTCGCCTCTGCTCGCCCTCGCCCCCCTCGAGCGTTCCGACCCACCGCCGCCCCGCTCTCCGCCTCGACCATGGCCAGCACCGACCCGACGCCTCGCACTGCCGCCGAGATCATCGCCGACTACCTCCTCGACCGCCTCGAGCGGCACCGTGCGGCTTGGCGGGAGCGGCTTCCGGACAGCGCGAGGGCTCCTCCGCTCGTCTGCGCGATTCAGGGTCCGCAAGGCAGCGTGCGTCCCGTTCCCTTCTTTCCCTTGACACCGTGACGGGCTACTGAGCCCTCTCCACGTGCACAGGGCAAGTCGTACACCGCCTCGAAGCTCCCAGCCCTCCTCGCCGCCGCCTCTCCGACTCCCTCCTCGGCGTCGTCCGCCCCGATCCGCACCGCCGCCCTCTCGCTCGACGACCTGTACCTCCCGCACGACGGTCTCGCCGCCGTCGCCGCCGCCGATCCGGCCAACGCGCTCCTGTCCGGCCGCGGCCAAGCCGGAACGCACGACCTCCCTCTCGCACTCGAGCTCCTCTCGGCGCTCAAGCGGCCTTCGCCCAACGCCCAGTCCCTCAAGCTCCCCTTGTTCGACAAGAGCCTGCACGGCGGCGCCGGCGACCGGCTGCCCCGCGAGCAGTGGGTCGAGGTCGAGCGCCCGGACGAGGTCGACCTCGTCGTGTTCGAGGGGTGGATGAACGGCTTCCGCCCGCTCGACCCGCCGTCGCTTCTCTCCGAGCTCTACAACCTCGCGCGCTCGGACCCAGGCGCGGCGAAAGCGCGCCTCGGGATCGACTACGAGCCGCCGTTCCTGCTCGAGCACGACGAGGCGCACCTCGCCGTCGTGCATGACAACCTGCGTGGGTACGCCCCGATGTGGGACGAGGTCGACGTGTTTGTCCAGATCAAGCCCGAGCGCATGGGCTTTGTGTGGGAGTGGCGCCTCGAGGTGCGTCCGCTCGTCCTCTCTCTCTCTCTCTCGCGCGCGCCGGCGTCGCGCTCACCGCAAATCTCCCCCTCGACCTACAGCAAGAGCACAACATGAAGGCCAAGAACGGCGGCATCGGCATGACGGACGAGCAGGTCAAGCACTTCATCGCCCGGTGCGTCCTCTCCCTCTCTCGCGCCGCTCAAGCGCACGGTCCTCGACCCTCGCCCTCGAGCCATCTTTCCCGTCCCTCGCCTTCCTCGTACTGACTCTCCCTCTCTCTCGTCCTTGCGTACAGGTACATGCCCGGCTACGAGCTCTGGCTGCGCGGCATCGACGACCCCAAGTCGACCTGGGCGGGCAACGGCCTGCGCGTCGTCATCGACAAGCGGCGCGACGTTCTCGGCGTCGAGCACTTCTAGAGAGACGAGCAATGCAAGAGCGCGTGTACGAGCTTGGTCTGTCGCTCGCGAGAGGAAAGCGAGAGAGAGCAAATGGACGAGCTGCTTGCGCGGGTCCAGCGGCGGCACCGAGAGAAGCAGCAGCGCTCGAGCGACAACTCTCGCCACTCTGCGACGCACGAGAGAACTGCGAGTACTGCCTGGTATTTCTGCCCGCCCCTCAACGCTCGGTACTAATCGTGAGAGAGCCGGCTCAGGTATCCGTCGTCGTCGTCGGTCGACGCTCGCGTGCTCGCTCAGTCCCGGAGCGGCGCCGAGGTCGACTCGAGGGGCTTGTCGGCGGCGGCGGGCGTGACTGAGGTGCCCTCGACGGTGCCGGTCGACGGGAGGGGCGCGTCGTGGGCGCTCGTGCCCGAGGTGGACGCGACGGGCGAGCCCGAGTGCGACCCCGAGGCGGCCTCCTGCTTCTTGGCCTGGGCGATGCGGAGCGCCTCCTCGTGGATGTCGACAGCCTGCTTCGACACGCTCGTGTAGAACGACGACACCTTGGCGCCGAGCGGGCTCGAAAGCGCCTGGCGGTAGTAGTTGGCGCCGATCTGCGACGCCGCCTTGGCCTTGAGCGACAGGCCCTTCTGCTTGTGGACGTCGGCGAGCTTGTGCTGCGCGCGCTCGACGTGCGGCGCCGCGACGCCCGTCACCGTCTCCTTGAGCTTGTTGAAGAACGAGAGGAACCTCGCCGACACGCCGTACTTGTCGTCGGCCTCGATCGCCTTGTCGAGCGTCGTCGCACCAACCGAGTAGCCGGCAGCGAGGTACTCGGCGATCTTGGCCGTGTGCGGCTTGTCTGCGGGGCGTGGAGAGGGAGGGGGTGGGGGGGGGGGAGCAAGTCAGGGTTGGCCCGCTCGGGCTCTGAGGCGACAAAGGAACGAGTGCGACGCACCCTCCTGCTCGAGCTCGTCGTCGTGGTGGTCGGCGAGGGCCGCCGGCGGCTGAGCGTTGCCGACCGCCTTTGCCGACTCGGGCTCCTCGACGTCGTCCGAGTGGACCTCGATCGTGGCGTCGTCGAGCGTCGCACCGGACAGCATGAGCGCCGTGCGTGCAGCCGACTCCTGCAGGCGAGGGAGACGAGGGCGAGGGCGCGAGGTCAGCGTCAAAGTCGAAACGTGACGAGGAGATAGTGGGGGGAGGGGAGAGGGCGGCGGCGCACCTTGGCGAAGTGGATGGTGGCCTTGCCGGCGGTCGGGCCCTCGATGGACGAGAGCTTGCCGCAGAAGCTGAAGAAGTGCTCGAGCGTCTGGGACGACGTGGTCGGCGCGAGGGACGAGACGGTGACGGAGGCCTGCGTGACGAGGACCGGGGGGGTCAGCGGGCGCGCGAGGCAGGAGAGGGCAGTGAGGGCGGGGCTCACCATGGTTGCTGTGTAGATCTAGGAAGCTGGGTGGGTGTGAAGCGAGATGCGAGATGCAGCGGTGGAGGGAGGGAGGGAGGAAGATCAGCTCGCCGAGCTGCGGGCGGCCCTCGAGCGGATGACGGCGACGCGGCGGTGCTCCTTCCCCCTCCTTTTTCTCTCTTTCTCACGTCGAGTGCGCGCAGGAAACGGACAGGTTGCACAAGAGTACACACAACAACGAGAGAGAGAGAGACGAGCACCTCACTTGGCCGAACGGGCCTTGGTACCCTTCATGCGGTTCGTCATCTGCTTCTTGACCTTCTTGCCGCCGGTCGCGCGCAGCTTCTTGTCCTCGCGCGACATCTTGGGCCTCGCCTGGACCGTGTTGCGCACGCGCTTCTTGTACAGGCTCGACTGCTGCGCCGGGCGGGACGTCGACGCGCGCGGCGGGAGGGTCGAGGTCGACAGGTCGACGAGCGGTTCGGGCGTCGGGGAGCGCGAGAGCGACAGGGGCTCGACGACGACGGTCGCGAGGTCGCCGTCGGGCGCCTCGTAGGCCGTCTCGCCCTCGACGAGCGCGCCCGAGTCCGAGGCGGCGTCCGAGTCGTCGTCGCTGTCCGAGTCGAGGCCGTCGAACTCGTCGTCGTCGTCGTCGTCGCCGCCGCCCTCGGCATCTGCAGAGTGTGAAGAGTCGTCAGTCCGGGTGCACCAAAACTCGGAGCTGGACCACGCTCGCGAGAGAGCCGGGCCGAGCACGAGTGCAAGAGGACAGATACCGAGACGCACCGCCGTATGCCTCCCTCGCCATGCGCACGTTGTGCGCCGCCTGCTCCTTGCGCTTCTCGCGGACCTGCGCACAAGAGACAAAGGTCAGTCGTACTGCTGCTGCAGGAGGCGCGACCGGTCGAGGCTGGCGAGCGACAGCTCGAGGCGCAGGGTCGTGGTCTCCCGTGCTCGCTCGCTCAAGTCACCGCGGCAGGCCGACCGTCCCCCCTATAGAGTGGCTGGTAGGAGAGAGAAAGGCTGGGACGCACCTGGGTGCGCATCTCCCTCAGAGCATCCTTCTCGCGCGAGATGGCGCGCTTGACCTTCTCGGCCTGCTTTGCCTTTTTGCGCTTCGAGAACCCGGTCAAGTACTCTCTGCGAGTGGCACGGGGCACAACCGAGTCAGGACACGCGCGCAGGGCGAGTCGGGGTCACGAGAGCGAGCTTGGACGAACTTGCGGGCCTCGGGGTCAAAGACGACCTCCTTGACGCGCTTGATCTTGGCCGGGCGGCCGTTCGAGTCGAGGCCGTTGTCGCGGGCTTTGCCCTTGCCCTTGCCCTTGCGCGGGGGAGGCATGGTCGGCCGTGGGCTGATGAGGACGTGGGGGGGGCGAGGGGAGGTGAGGGAGGGCGCTGGATCGGGGGTGGGCGGCGCGGTGGTGCGGACCGACGAGCTGGTGGTGCCGGCCAAGTCAAGCGGGACTGGCTCGCGGCAGGTAGAGAGTGAGGAGGAAGAGAGGCGCTCGTCCACGCTCCCCTCTCCGCCTCATCATCTTCGCTCGCCACGACAGCCTCAGAGCTACAAGCAGCAGCCTGTACGCGCTCAAGGCCACCATGAAGGTCACCATCAACCACTACCACGCCGTCGCCATGTGGCGCTGGAACCTCAAGCCCTCTCAGCCTCCTCGCTCAACCTCGGACGCCGCCGACGCCCAGGGCCCGCAGTCCGACAGCGACGACGACGACGACGACGACGTGTGCGGCATCTGTCGAGTCGCCTTCGACGGCTGCTGCCCCGACTGCAAGGTGCCCGGCGACGGCTGCCCGCCGAGTGCGTCCTCTCCCCCTCCCGCCTCTCTCCAGTCGCTCTCTCCAGCGGCAACCCTGTTGACTCTGCTCCCACACGGTCCACAGTCTGGGGCGAGTGCACCCACGTGTTTCACATGCACTGCCTCATGAAGTGGCTCGCGACCGACTCGTCCAAGCAGCAGTGTCCGATGGACCGTCGCCCGTGGGGTGCGTCGCCCTCCCCTCTCTCTCTTCTCGACGCGCCCTTTCTTCGTCGACAGGAGCGAGCGATACTGACACGCCCGCCCTCGCCGCTCACAGTAACCGCCGGCACGCCCGCTGTCGCCCCGCCCGCCGCGCCAGAGCACCTCGCCGCGCCGCCCGTCCAGCCGCAACCGCAGCCCGACGCCGGTCCCGCCGCCGCCTGAGCCCGTCGACCTGACGAGCTCCTCGTCACCATTCTCGAGGACGGCGCTGGCAAGGTCAAGGAGGGCAGCCCCGCCCGACTCAGCCGCACGCACCTCGAGTACTCGAACCCGACCTGTCCTCGCCGCCCTCGCACCTGCAGCGTCATCCGCACTCGTCGGCACTCGGAGCCCCCTCAGCAGTACCTCCTCTCGACATCGGCAGCGCGTCGTGCAGCCGCAGCTCCTCCTGCGGTAGGTCTCGCCAGTGCCGCTCGAGAAAGCCTCTTCCAAACCTCGGTACGTGCCCTTCCTCTTCTCGTCTACCTCGCACTGTGACCTGACCTTCGTTCTCGTGCAGTGCATCGTCTTGCGTGGCCACGATGGCCCAACCGTCGAGCGCATTCTCGTGCAACGATGTCCGTCTCTCTCCTTCTCCCTCGCACGTTCCGGTCCTCTCGAGAGTCGTGCGCTCCCCTGATTTGGAGAGAGCGTTCGCTTCCTGGCAGAGAGTGCTCGCGTCGTTCACGGAAGCGGAAGCGGAAGCCGAACGTGCGTCAGGCGCAAAGGCGACAAAGTGGCTCGAGCGAGAGCCAAGTCGCCGGCGACCGTGGCTCGGCACCGCCCATCTCGCGCCCACCACCCGCACAGCTGCGGACGAGCTTTCCGCCAGCTCAGCAGCACTTTGCGCACTTGCTGCGTGCGCCTGCGCGACCGCCCACGACCGCGCCCAACCTTCGCCGCGAGTCGAGGCTCGCCCGTCCAGCTCGTCGCCGCCGTCCCTGGGTCCAGCCGGTTCGTCCCAGTACTCTCGCAAATCCTCATCGACGGCGCTTCGTGCTGTCACGGGCTCGCCTGAGTGCGAGAGTGGCGCGAGGGAGACGCCGCTGTCCGGACCTCAGCTGACAACGATTCGCAGACCGTCGCGCAGGGCCACCTAGATCAGCACGAGCACCACGCGTCAGTCCAGCATGTCGACCACGAGGCGGCGGCAGCCCTCTCGCCCACCAACACGCCGGGCCGCCTCGTCCGCCGCCTCGCCCAACTCGCCCGCCTCCACCTCTTCGGCGCTCGACCTCCCCTCACGCACTCTCCTGCGCCGCCGCTCCCATTCCCTCTACGGCCCCACCGCCTCGTCCACCCCCTCGGCGCGCGGGCCCTCGGGCGCCGTCTCGTCCCTGTTCGAGTCGCTCGACCTCCCCGCGTCGTTCCTCAGCCTGCGCGAGTACCTCGCGCGCAAGCTCGAGGACGCCGAGCGCAGCCTCCAGGCGCTCAAGACGTTCGTCGACGAGGAGGCGACCGACCTCGAGACGGAGCTCGACGGCGACGGTGAGACCGAGGGCGACGAGGAGGAGAGCGGGCCCGAGTCGGACGACGAGCGCGAGGGCGACAACGACGGCGGCGGCGGCGAGCAGGCGGCCGCACACAGGCGCTCGCTGCTGCCGCACGGTCGGACCCGGCCGGCCAAGGCGTCTTCGGCCGCCGCCGTCGCCGAGCTGCAGGACGAGATCAGCGCCCTGCAGGCGTTCATCGCGAGCGCGTCGTCGTTCCTCGCCGCCATGCGCTCCGAGCTGCCGTCGCCCGCGAGCGCGTCGGCCGACGCCAAGTCGTGCCTGCAGCTGCAGCTGTCGCCCGACGCGCGCGCGACGCTTGACCGGTTCCTCGAGGACCACCCGATGCCGTCGCTGCCGCACTTTGGCCTGCGGTCCCGCGCCGCGTCGAGCGCCAACGCCATCCTCGAGCGCGTCGGCCTCGAGATGCGCGGCGTGCGCGACACGCTGTCGTACCTCGCGTCGTCGACCGACCCCGTGTCGTACCTCCCCGCGTCCCTGCGCTCGTCCCTCCCCTCGACGCCGTCCCTCACCGACTTTAGCCACGCGCGCGCCTACTTCTCGGCCGAGTCGACCCGGTTGTCGAACGCCGTGTCGCAGCTGCGCGACGACACGACCGAGTCGCTGTCGGCGTCGCTGCACCGCGCCGTCGACGGCGCCGCCGAGCTGTCGGCCTACGTCAAGGGCGAGGCGTCGCACGCGCTCGACGAGGCGCGCAAGATGTACCACGCCGCGCTCGAGATTGGCCAGACACGCCTGTTGCGGTATGATGAGTTGCCGCCCGACTGGCGCAACAACGAGCATATCCTGAGCGGATACCGGTACATCCCGATCGAGCGGTGGGGGACCTTGATCCGCAGCGCGTGGCAGTGGCACAACGAGACGATCAACATCCAGTCGCAGTGCGTCCGCCTCCCCCCTTCTTCCTCCTCTTTCCCTTCCCGAGCTCACCTCTCGTCCTCGTCGCGCGCAGCTTTGTCGGGTTCCTGTCGCTCGTCGTCCTCCTCGTCTACTACCTCTTCTTCTCGTCGTCGTCGCCGCACATGCTCGCCGACCCGCACCCGGGCGACACGGCGATCGCGGTCCTCTTTGTCGTGCGTCCTCGGTCCTCTTCTCGCCACGTCCTCAGCTCCTCGGGCACCCACAGTCGTGCCGTAGGAGCTGTGGTCCGATGCGGTCGATCACTGACTCTCGTCTCGCACGCCCTCTCGCAGATCTCGGCGATGCACTGCCTTCTGTGCAGCACGACCTGGCACCTGTTTGCCGGCTGCGCGACGATCCACTGGCACCGTGGCGCCGCGTGCGTCGACTATGTCGGCATCAGCGGGCTCATCGCTGCGAGCGTGGCAGGTTCGACGTGAGCACCCGCCCCCTCCTTGCCCTCTCTCCTCGTCGCCGAACCCTCTGACCCCTCTCTTCCTCCTTCCTGCAGGTACTACGGCTTCTACGAGCATCCTCGGCTCGCATCGGCCTACATGCTCTTCAACCTCGTCATCGGCGTCACGGGCATGGTCGTGCCGTGGCAGGCGTGGTTCAACGAGCGCAAGTACAAGAACTGGCGCATCGCCTTCTTCTGCTCGCTCGCGCTGAGCGCCGTCGGGCCCGTGTCGCACCGCGCCGCCATCTATGGCCTCGGCGAGACGGTCAGGTTCTACAGTGCGTCGACGTCGCTCGCCTGTTTCTCCTCGTCGCGTTTGGGCCCTGACCTTGTCCTCGTCTGCAGGTCCCGCCATTCCCTCGATCGCCGCCTACGGCCTTGGCCTCACCTTCTACGCGCAGCAGGTGCGTCTTCTCGTCCTCTCGCCCCTTCCTCGCAATGAGTCGCTCACCCTGTCGCCCCGCCGCAGTTCCCCGAGTGCGTCGCCCCGGGTACCTGGAACGTCGGCGCGAGCCACCAACTATGGCACATCGCCATAGTCGCCGCTGTGTGGCTCCACTGGAAGGCCATGGGCGACTGGAGCGCGGCCGCGCTCGGCTTTGACGCGCCGTAGCTCGACTCGCCTCTCGCAGAGCCTCTCTTTTGTGTAGACTAGACCCCTCCTCGCCGCAGCTTGTTGAGACGCATTGGATTCCTCTCCTCGCCTTCACCGCGACGGGCTGCGAGAGAGGAGCACGCCGTGGGACCGGAGCCTCCTGTCCGTCGAGAGGTGCGTGCGCTGGTCCCTCTCGGTGACGCGGCCGTCCCTCGGTCCTCGCCTCTTTCCCTCCCCGCGCTCTCTCACCCACAGCCCGTCCACACCGCTCAACCGTCCAGCAACATGCCTGTGCGTCTGCCTGTCCTCTCTGCAGCCAGCGCACGAGCTGACCCTCCTCTCGTCCCTCCTCTCCCTCCTCCCCACCCCCCGCCGCTCTCCTCGCCCTCCTCGACCCGGCTTCCTCGCGCCTGCCTCGCGCCCGGTCGCAGAAGAACGCCCACGTACGTCCAGCTGTCCTCTTCTACACGGCGCGAGCACCGAGCCCGGCCTCGAGCCGCAGCTCGCGGGCGCGGGCAGCCCTTGGCGGGCGTCGACAGCGAGCTCACGCCTCCCTTCCCCCCCCCCCCCCCCCTATCCTCGTGCGTTCACCTGTAGAACGTGTACCATGGATTTGTGGGCCTCGCCAACAATCCGCAGAGCTCGCCGCAGATGAAGGCGGTGCGTCGCGCTCGTTCCTCTGTTCTTCCTCCTTCCTCTCGCCGAGCGTCTTCCCCGATCCGCACCTCGATCGAGAACGACGAACTGACCGCCCTGCATCCCTCGAAAATAGTACGCCGAGAGCCAGATGGCCCAGACGAGCGTGCGTCGCCTCGCTACCCTTTTCTTCTCCTCGAAGCCAAACTGACTCGTACCTCTTCTCCTCTGCGACGCAGAACCAGTTCCACGGTGCGCACGGCAGCGCGCACAACCCGTCGACGAGCGCCCAGGGCAAGGCAGCGTGCGTCCTCCTCTTTCTCGCTCCCCCTTGCCGCCCGACCCTCACTGACCTTGTCGTGCCCGCACGTGCACCTTCTCCCTCCCTTCCTTTCCCGCCTGCAGCGCCGAGAGCAAGATGCAGGCGACGCAGCCCGACGCCTGGAAGAACCGCTAGGGCGGCTCGCGCGCCCGGTGGCAACGTCGAGGTGGAAGGTTTCGCTTGGGCGGGAGAGGGAGGAGGAGGGGACGGGGCGTGAGTCGCTTGTTCTCGTGCCTGCAACGCTTTTGTGCTTGAGCGCGAGAGCCCCGTGAGAGGTCGAGAGGCTGTCTCGTGCAGAAAGCCGAGCTCGAGCGTGCGAGTCGCTCGACTTGAGAAGGCTCGAGCGAGGCACTCCGTCTCTCCTCTTCTCTCGCGCGCAACCGCCTTTCGCCTCGGCCCGTGCCCCTCTCTCACGCTCGAGAGGTGTGAGAGGCGTGAGAGCTGCGAGAGGAACAGCTCGCTAAGCACCTCGTTCCTGTCGAGAGGACCGTGCGCTCGAGCAGCGCCGGGCTGAGCACCTCCTCTCCTCAAGCGCGTTCGATCGCCCCTCCGCCGAGAAGGGGAGCAAGCTCCGCATGACTGAGGGTAGTCAGTGAGGGAGCAGGAGCGAGAGAGCGGATCAGGCGGCGTCGGACGCGAGGGTGGCGGGGCTCGTGCGCACAGTCTTCGAGCGGGTCTCGCCGCAGCACAAAGAGTACGACGGCCGTCTTTGAGAGCACCGGCGAGCTTTCATTCTCTCTCGCGCTGCCGACGAGAAAGGGACACAGAAAAAGCGCCGTTTCAAAGTCCTCGCTCAAGCGCCAAACCACCTCCCTCGCCCGTTGCCTCCTCCTGCTACGTCCACGCCCACGCCGTCTCCGTGTACTCGCCGGCGTCGAAGCCGAGGACGCGCACCCTCCCGTGCTCGGCGCTCGGCGAGGGCGTCGGCAGAGCGAGGGGCGCGCCCGGACCCTCGAGAGTGGAGCGACGCAGCGTGCGCCCGACCTTGAGCGCCGTGACGCCGAGGAAGTTCTGGTGCATCTGCGGTGCTCGAGAACGTGTCAGGTCGGGATCCGGTGGGAGGCTCGGGACGAGGAAGGGAAGGGAGAGAGAGACGCACCACCTCGGCCCAGGTCTGCCCCTTGAGCTTCCACGGACGTGCAGCCGCCCCACCGTCTCCTCCTCCGCCCGCGCCACCTCCTCCGCCGCCGTCGCTCGAGATCTCCCACACCCTGCCCATCTTCTCGCACTCGTCGGCCGTCGTCGTCGCGCCCGCCGCCGACCTGACGAGCGCGCGCACGTGCGCCGGCGCGACGAGGCACCTCGGCGGGGCGCGCATGCCGTGCGAGGCGTGCACGTGCGGGACGAGCTGCGCAAAGCGTCCGAGGAGGCCGCACACGCCGCACCGGAAGAGAGCGACGGCGCGCTCGAGGAGGGCGTCGGCGTCGGCGGGCGAGATGGCGGCCCAGGCGGGCTCGACGCCGGTGCGAGGGTCGCGGTCGAGGAAGGGCGAGGGTGCCGAGGAGAGGGCGAGGTCGATCGAGGAGGGGAGAGGGTCGCCGTCGGCCAGGAGGGTGCGGGCGATGCGGTCGAGGAGGACGAGGCGGTCGTTGCGCACCGCCTCGAGGGCGTCGGCGACGGCGGCGGGCAGCATTCTGCTGAACTTCTGGGCGTAGACCTCGATGCGAAGAGGGCCGACCCACTGCCACTCGGCGCACAGGGAGGGCAGGCGGAGGAACGACGAGAGTGGCAGGAGGAAGGGGAGCGTCTTGTCGTCGACGTTCAGCTGCACGTCGTTGTAGAGCGGCTTGAGGGCACGGCGCTGCCAGTTGTGCGCATAGTTCTTCTTGCGCTCGCGGCGCTCTCGGCGGTTTCGCTCGATCCAGGCGACGATGCGGTCCTTAAAGACGTCCCACTCTGCGATCGCGGCGACGGGTCAGGGCGAGGGTCACGAGAGCGATAGAAAGAGAGAGAGAGAGAGGGCGAGCGAGACGGACCGTCATCGTCAAGAGGCTCGTCGGTGCTGCAGAACGCCTTGAGGTTGTCGTTGCGCTCTTTGCGCTCTTGGCGGTCCGCCTCACCCTCGCACGGCACCGACGGCTCGTGACAGACCTCGATAAGCTCGTCCCAGACGCTGTCGTAGTCGTAGCTGCGCGGCAAGAGAGTCAGCCGTCGAGCGCGAGGAAGAAGTAAGAACGCGAGGCAGACGAACCTGTCCTGGGCGAACCCGAGCGCCGCGAGCTTGGCGTACAGCCTGTCCGGCAAGATGCGAGTCAGTCATCGAGGCGCCCAGTGTGCAAGGAAGAACGCTCGACGCACTGCTGCTGCCGACGGCCGAGGCGGTCCTTTCTCGCTTGAGCCGCTCGCAGTGCCCGTCCTCGAAGCCAACTCCCCAGCGTCCTGGCGTCGAAGTACACACGCGCGCGCAGATTGATCCGCCGCGTGATGTACGGCCCTAGCGCTATATCGGGATGGACGCCAGCACCGAGCGCGTGTGCCGCGATCGAGGTAAGGCGAGCCGAGATGGCGAGGACGTCCGGCAGAAAGAACTCGTCGATGACGGGGTCGGCTTCGACGTCTGGAGGGGTACTCGAGTCAGTGCTGGACGTTCATGAGGTTTAACCGCTCCCTGAGAAGGCGAGGGGCGGAAGAGGGACGCACCCCACGTGTCGAACGCGCACTCGAGGGTCCGAGGGTGGAGGTAGGGGTGCGCCTGCGAGATCTGCTGCGTGCGCATGAACCTGCGAGGCGGTCAATTGGTCAGTGAATGCTTGGGTGACGGTTCATGCGCGAGTGAGAAGACGCACAGGCTGCTCGCGCAGGTCATGCAGACCCTCGTGCGGGCGTCGAGATCTGCGTGACGAGCCTCGCCGCCGCACACCTGCGCACACGGATAAGGCATCAGTTCGAGGAACCACTGAAGAAGAAAAGGGGCGAGAAGAGAGCACGAGGCGAGCGCACCTGGCACGTCGTCCCGCCGATGAGCCTCGCGAGCAGAACCTCGGCCGCCACGTCGTCGCCGCCGGCGCGCAAGTCGGACGAGAGCTTGGGCACCTCCATGTTGATCCTCGCCTGGGTCCAGACCTTGAGAGCGCGGCGGTCGCCCGAGCGACGCAGGAGGTTGGCGAACGCACGCGAGGTGCAGCTGATGGCGAGGATGTCGGGCGTCTCGAGGTACGACAGGATCTGGAGGGGCGGCGGCGGCGGCGGTCAGCGGTACTTCTACCTTGCCTCGGTCGAGAAAGGCACGAGGGAAGAGGCGGACGCACGACGTGGATGAGCTCGAGGGGGAGCGCCATGAGGCGGAACCACCTCGCAGGTCGACGAGGTCGGCCCGGCTGCAGCTGGTGCTGCTGAAGCTGCTGGACTGGTTGCTGAAGCTGGACGACAGGTTGCACTGTGCATGCGCTGGCTAGTCAGAGCTGTGCCGTGGTGCAGAAGGACGAGGGAGATGAGGACGCACCGAGACCGAGAGGAGCGACGACAGACAGGTCGGGCGCAGCGCTGTTGAGCGGCCACACGTGTGTGCGTCCAGCCAGCACCATGGCGGTAGCTGCTGCGCTCGGGAGAAGCTGAGGCGAAGCACGAGCGGTCGGAGAGGAGCGGCGACGAGGCCGCGCGCGAGGAGGGTCGAGCGGGTGTCTCGATTTTACCGCAGAGCCTCTCATTTTGAGCAGGTAGCAGCAGAGCGACTCGCACTGAGCGCTACATTGCTCGCGCCGACTCGACGAGCACCGCGAAGACGCCAACTCGACGTTGCGTCGCGGCTGTCCCGCTCGCGCGAGGACGAGCGGCGTTCTTGCTCGTGGCAGCAGTCGATCCAAGGCTCATAGCCGGCCGGACCAAGCCAACGCCTGGCGAGCGGGAGGCGCAAGTCGTCGTGAGGGACGACGTTGGAGAGAGCGAGCCTAGCCACTCGACTCGCTCTACCGCTCGACCTCACTGCTGAGTCGGCATCTGCGCTCTGGCTGCGTAGCCGCACTCTTCAATAGCAGCCGCGCGCTGCACTCGCTGCGCCGCGAGCCGTCGTCGCTTCGCCGCATCCTCATCAGCCTCGTTTCACGTCAACCGACCGTCCTTCCCCGACGACGACTCGTGGACCGGCACGAATGACGGTAGAGGGCTACAGAAGGGTCGATGCACATGTCGGGCAGGGCAGCAGCGCTGCCGCGGTGTTGGACGACGGGTGCGTCCTCCTCTCTCTCCACCTCTGTGTTTGGCCGCCTCTCCCTCGACCCGCACCGCGTTGCAGCTTCGCCTTGCACTCGATCAGTGCTCCCGAGCTAAACATGATCCCCACACAGGTAAAGCAGCTGCGCAGGACGAGCAGGTGGGCGTGACGAGCGGCGCCAGCGCGGATCTCGAACTCGAGGCGGTTCACTTTGATCCTTGTGCGTCCCTCTCGCTCTTCTCCTCCCATTCACTACCCGCACCAGGGTCTGTCCTTCGTGATGGGCGCCCCGCTGACCCCGTCGACCTCGCGCCGCAGGTTGGTCGCGCCCGCGACGGCCATCCCTTCCTCCTCGTCCGGCAGCTCCCAGCTCGTACCCTCTCTCTCTCGCGACCTCCCCAGTCGTCGTCATCATCCGCTCTCAGCGCTTTCGGCGGGCCCAGGATGACCGAGCTGCCCGCTCCGCGACTGTCGCTCGTCCCGGCGGCCGACCAAGCCGAGCCGCCGAGGACGGGCGATCCTGCGCAGCCTTTCTCGAACGCTATCTCTTCGTCCATCCCGGCTGGGGCCTTCTGCCCGCGTCATCTCGTACGAGGAGGTAGTCACGATGCAATTGAGCGCGTCGGTCGAGCCATTTGTGTCGTGCACAGCGAGAGTCGCTCTGCTCGCTCCTCCTCTCGAGTCGTCCGTGCGGCGACGAGAGAGACGCTTCTTCTCCCAATCCTGTTTCTCTCGCGTGGTCTGCTAGGCTCCCCTGTGCGAGCGTCAGGCTGCGTCAAAGCGAGAGCTGCAGCCGAGAGCGCCGAGCGAGCCTCTCGACTTGGGAAGGCTGCGAAGCGCCTTCCCCTCCGTCCTCTCGCTCGCACCGCCATCGCGCCCTCAAGCTCGACCGGACCCACCGCAAGCACGTTCAAGATGGGCTGCTATCCGTCGCACCCGCACCCGCACGCCCGCTGGCACACCGGCCCTTCCGTCGTCGTCGTCGCCGGGTGCGCCCCCTCTCTCTCCTCGCGCACGCACACGATCGAGTCAAACTGACCTTCGCCCTTCGCACACAGTCCCAGGCGCCCATTCGCGTGAGCCCCGTCTCTCTCCGAGCCCTCGTCGAGCGAGGCGAGCTCACTCTTCCGCCCTGCCCCACCCGCGCGTCCGACCGCCCTCCCGCAGCGCGCGCTCGCACATGACTACGACGACGCACACGACGGCGAGCGTACCGATGCGCACGAGCCAGTACGGCGCTGGGCCGGCGGTGTACCCGTGCGTCCGCGCTTCCCTCGCCCCCTCGGCGCCTTTCGCGCTCGCGAGCGGACTCGCCTCATCTCTGCAGGGGCGGCGGCGGCGGCGGGTACGGCGGCAAGAAGGTGACGACGACGACGAGCACGATGATGAGGGGCGGGAGGAGGGGCAGGAGGTGCTGAGCGGGCCCCGGATCGCTTTCGAGGACGGCGCACGGACGAGGACGGGACGCGCAGCTTGCGACGAGGCAGGAGAGCCCGCAGAGGAACGCGACACGTTGCGGCTTGCATTACAAGGGAGGCTACGGTGAGCGAGACCGAGAGAAAAGCTCGCGCCCCGCCCTGGCGGCCCCGACCTCGCTCGCGCCTCACCCCATCCACCACCGCACGCCGAGCACGGAAACTGCGACTGCTGGCCAGACGACGAGACCCACGAGGAAGAGGGCAATGTCTGCACGTGTCGGGCCCGCAACGTGCGACGGGGCGCCCGACGCGCCCGAGGCGAGGTCGACGGGCGCGAGAGGCTGCGCGCGCTCGAGCTTGTGCCGCGCGAGAGCCGCCTGCGCCACCTCGAGCTGCGCCTCGACGCTCGCAAGCCTCGCCCGCAGAGCGTCGCCGTCGGCCTCGCTCGGTCCCGCCGGTGCGCGTACGCCCGCGGCGCCGCCGCTGGAGGACGCGCCGCTCGCCGCGGCCGACTCGCTCGCGCCGCTCCCTGCCGCGCCCGCTCCGCCCTCGCCACCACGCTCGAGCGCCGCAAGCCTCTTCTCGATCGCGAGGCGCCAAGGCTCCTCGTCGTCCCGAGCCGCGCCCCCCTCGCCTGCGCCCTCTCGCCCCTTCTGCTGCGCCCGACCGCCGCGCCCCGCTCGTCCCGCACCGCCCTCGGTCCCACCCACCCGCCGCGCGTGCAGCACGAAGCGCGCGACGGCGTCGACGAGGTACAGCTGCGCGTGGGGCGGGAGGCGCGGTGCGTCGCGCTCGCGGTCGCGGTCGCGGTCGGGGCCCGTGCGGGAGGAGGCTGAGGTCGAGGGCGGGAGGAGCGCGAGGCGCGGCAGGGGCGGCAGGGAGGGGAGGTGCGAGAGGGTGGTGGCGGTTGGGCGGGCGGGTGCGGGTGTGGCTGAGGCGGAAGAGGAGGGAGAGGGGGCCGGCGCGGGGAGGAGGTCGAGCGCGTGGAGGAGCGGCGCGACGGTCGAGAAGAGGAACAAGGGCGCGAGGGCGTCGGCGCTGTTGCTGAGCGAGGCTGTCGCACCCGCCGCCGCCGATGGAGGCTTGAGCGCGTTCCTCGTCCGCTGCGGCTCGAGCCCGCCGGTCTCGCCGCCCTCGTCATCGTCGGCCGCATCGACGTACGCCTCGAACGCGACGATGCTCCACTCGACGACGCGGCCCCACACGGCTTCGAGGCTCGGCGCAGCGTCGGTCGGGCGGTCCTGGAGCGAGGGGAACGTGAGGAGGGACGGGAGGAGGGTGCGGACTTGGGCGCCGGCGGGGAGGAGGTGGATGCGCGGGAAGGGGGTGCTGCGGGGGTGCGAGGGGCGGCGGTCAGTGTCGCACCACCTTGAAAGAGACAGAGAGGCGGGAACAGCGGGACGCACGCGAGCATGCTCGCCGTCGAGTACTCGTCGGGCGGGATCTGGTCGGACGCGATCTTCCAGCTGCGACGCAAGCAGGTGAGCCTCATGTTGAGGGGCACGACAGGAATCCAGAGAGAGTGACGCACTTGTGCACGATGCCGCCCTCTTCCTTGTCCTCGCACGAGTAGGCGCCGCGCGTCTCCCACTCGAGCAAAGCGGCGAGCTCGTCGAGGCGGCCGAGGTCGGCGGCGATCTTGCGGGCCGTCTTGAGCGGGGTCCAGAGGTCGAGGACTGCGAGGGCGTGCGAGGCGAGTCAGCTCGGGGTACGGGGCGAGGCGAGGGCGGAGGGAGAGAGGACGGACAGGGTGCGAGGCCGGCGAGCGTGGTCGAGTAGTCGAGGCGGTCGAGGTCGTACCGCAGGAGCACCTCGATCGGCGTGACAGCGCAGGCGAGGAGGATCCTGCCGAGCGAGACAAAGGGCTCTCTGCGGGTGCGTGAGGCGGGTCAGCGACTCGCTCGTGCGCGAGAGGTGGGGGAGGAGAGGGCGGGCGGCGAGCGCACCGGTGCTCGGGGTCGATCAGGCGCAGGACCTCGACGGTGGGGCTTGATGGACCATGGCGCAGGTCCTCGGTGTCGCTTGCAGCGCTCGCGCCCTGGTTGGCGAGCGGGAGCTGAACCGAGAGGCAGATCGAGGGGGAGGTGCCGGTGCCGAGCGGGCGCAGGAGGCGGAAGGAGAGCGGGAGGGCGTTGTAGGGAAGAGCAGCTGCGAGTTTGGCCACCGTGGCAGGGCGCTCGAGCGAGTGGTGATTAAGCGGCGAAGGAGGAAGCGAGCGACGACTCGGAGGCGGCTCTCGAGACGAGGGAGACGACTGCGAGCTGCACAGGGTGTCTATGTTGCACTGTACCGGCCCATCTACAGCAGCTCTGTCCAGATACAGTCGGCCCCTCCCATCGCGTCGAGCGTCCACAGCGGGTCCTCCCCAACAGCGATCCCCTCTCCCTGCGACGCCATGGCCGGCGCGACACCTTGCCCGGCATCGACGTCCGGCCCGGGGGCACCACCTGCCACGCTTGGCGTCGAGGCCGGCGCCGAGGGGCCGCTCGTCGAGGTTGAGGCGGGCGGGACTGAGAAGAAAGGGTCGGTCGAGAGGAGGGTGAGGAACGAGAGCGGGTTGTCGAGCGGGACCGAGAAGGCGGCGTTGAGCGCCTCGAGCTGGACGACGGTGCCGAGGCGCTCGATGAGGTGGTCGAGGTGCGGGTTCGAGTAGACGTAGCCGATCTTGAGCAGGGTGGCCGAAAGTCTGCAGAAGCGCGAACGCGAGGGGAGGGTCAGGAACTCGCTCTGTCGCACGCTCAGGAGAGACGTATCGACGAGAGAGAAAGGTCCACGCACTGCTGGCACGTCGGTACGAGCTGGTCGCCCATCGCGCGTGCGTGCCCGGCGTCGTACTCGGCGAGGAGGAACTCGGCCCACTGCGGGAGGAGGCGCGGCTGCAGGTGCGTCCAGAAGTAGATGATCGGCGTGCGCTCGATCGCCGCCATGACCGCCTCGAGTGCCGCAAAGCCGTACGCTCGCGCCTGGCTGATGTGCACCTCGAGTCGGTCCCGCGCGAAGCGGGCCGAGATGGACTCGCTCGACGGTGCCGGCGACGGCGTGCTCGATGCCCGACAGGCCTGCAGGTCGTGGTAGAGAGGAAGGACGAGGGCGGTCCACGCGACGGCGGCGAAGAAACGGGTCGACTTGAGCGCCTGGACCTTGGAGAACGGCACGGGCCGGAAGAGGGAACGGTCGGCGACGGCGCCGCAAGCCTCGAGCAGGCGATCCGTGTGGGCGACGAGCGAGATCGACGCTTGATGAAGTAGGTCGACCCGGCCGAGCGTCGACAACACGGCCTGCTCGTCGAGAGGTGCTCCTCGCGAGCGAGCCAACGTAGACGAGGAGAGGCACGCCTGCAGCTCGAGTGCCGCCCGAACACACAGTCCAGCATCTGCGCTCACAGAGTGTGGGTGTCAGGCAAAGGGCCGTTGTGCGAGGCGAGAGGAGGAAAGCTCGACGCACAGATCCCGATGGACGGCCACTGCTTCGTGCGCTTCGAGTCTCGGAGCGCGTCGTCGAGGTCTTGCACGTACGCCTCGGCGGTGAGCTCGGGCGAGTCGACGAACTTGGCGAGGTCGGGTAGTGGCCTGCGCACGTGCACGCGGTCAGCTCGGTGCCGAAAGGAGACGAGGAGGAGCCGCTCGACGACGCACAGCATGATCGAGCCGTCGCCGATTGCCGTGAGGTGGTCGACTGTCTGCAAGGGACCGACGACGCCGAGTCAGTGCGTACGCAGGAGGTCTCGACGAGCGGCCTGCAGAGGGACGCACGAGCTGCATGGCCCACGGGGTCGACTGCGTCTGCGTCTGGCTCAAAGTGCGCAGCGGCGCCAGTGCTCGGACGTGCGTGTAGTAGATCGACAGGTATGGGCGCGGCGAGCCGACTGGATGGTCTGTACGACAGGAGCAGGAGTGAGCCGCCCGCCTCGTCCCACGCACGAGGAGGAGAGAGAGGGGGACGCACCAACGGCAAAGAGGAAGTCGAGGGCCCAGCACACCGCGGCGTGCGTCGCCGTCGCCAAGTAGAACGTGTCGCCACCTTTTGCGCGACGCAGGGCCTCGTCTCGCAAGGCGAGAAAGGCGCCGAGTCGTCGGCGGCCAAACTCGCGCAGGTCGGGTCCGAGCCGCTCGACCGCCGTCATGCTCGTCGGGTTGTCGGAGCGAGAGCCGATGATGGCCGAGTGGAACGAGGCGAGAGCGCCGGCGGCGAGGGCGCAGTAGGCCAGCGTGCGCAGGTCGGGCGCGAGGGCGGCCAGCTCGCCGACCGTCTTGGGCGGAGCGAGGAAGAGGCCCGAGTCGTGCACCAACGGGTGGGTAAAGCGAAATCCGGCACCTGTGTGCGCGCGGGTCAGCTCTGATACCGAAAGAGTGCTGAGAGCAAGAGAGACAGGCGACGCACGCGGAAAGAGGTCGTCGACGATGCTGTCGTCCAGCTCAAAGGGCAACTTGTTGCCGACCGGATCTCGGGCTTCCCTCGAGGTCGACGTGATGTGCGGGAGGTTGCTGGCTGTCGGTGTCGAGCTGGTGGATCGTGGCGCAAAGGTAGGGGCGGGAACGAGAGCCGGAGAGGCGGACGGGTGAGGGCGAGAGGCGGCGGTTCTTGTTCGGCTCTGCGGCGGTTTGCGGGCGATGGGCGTGGTCGTACACCTGCACACAACAGATGTCAGCTTGATGGACAGCTACTCGTCTCCCGGTCCCTGGCGCGACTCGCAGTATCTCGGCTTCGACGCAGCGAGGACAGCCAGTCGGGCTCGGGTGACACAGCACGCGCTTGGCCTGCAGAGAGGACATGAGCGCGCGCACTGAGGTCCCTTGACGCACGGGAGAGGCGACGCACCTTGCACCGGTCGCAGGCTGGCGGCTTCTTGTCCTTGAGGCGGGGGCGAGCGTCGAGGGTGGACGGGCTCTGCTCGTGAGCTGTGGAAGTCGTGGCGCTCGAGCGATCCGCCGGCATGGTGTGTGTTGCAGCGGCGAGCACGTAGAGAGCGACGGGGGCGCAGGAGGCCGCCTCTCATTAGTGTCTCGCTCCGCCAGCGAGGTGCGCGGAAGAGAGGGAACCACAAAAGCTCCTCCCTCCTCCTTCATCATTCGCGGCACTCTGTGCAATGCAGGACCTTGTGCCTTCTCCAGCTACTCGCCGCCATGTCGAGCCTGCGCCGCTCCCTCCTCCCCGCCCTCCTCGCGCTCGCGCTCGTGCACGTCGTCGCCGCTCAGTCTGCCAACGAGCAGGCCCAAGACAAGGGCATCGTTGTCGAGACGGCGCCAGCTGCAGCTTTCCTCGTCCTGTACCTCACTGCGACCGTCGTCCAGTGGTGCCGTGAGCCCTCGTCTCCCTCCTCCGCCGAAACTCGGAGCCGTGAGCGCACTGACCTTTTGCCTGCGTGTTTGACAGTGTGGTTCCGGCACGGTCGACAGGCCTACATGCTCAATCTGCTCGTCGGCATGACCTGCAAGTCGGATGCCCTCGAGCCTTTCGCTGCGGCGCTTTACTGACTACGCTCGCTCGCAGGCATGACTCTCGGGTTCCTCCTGCGTGTCAAGAACAACTACGCGTGGCAATTCCTCGTGCGTCACCACGTCACTCTTTGCAGCAGCGCGTGGCCCAGCTAAACTGTCCCTTGACCCGGTCGCAGTTCACCTTTTTGTCGGTGCGTCGGTCTTTCGCTCGGACCCTCTCTCTAACACTGACAAACTCGCTTCTTGTTGCACAGCCCTGCGCCTTCCTCGCACACGGATACGTCGTCCTCAAGCACATTGCAAAAGCCCTGGACCGCGAGGTGTCGTCAGCCTGCCTCTTCATCCCGGCTCGTGGCCTCGTCTACATCTTTGTCCTCAGCGACGTCGTCACGTTCATGGCGCAAACTGCCGGCACTGCGTTGGTCATCATCGGTGGCAAATGGCTCTCCCTGGGTGAGAAGGTCTGTACAGATCACGCTCGTGCGGCTGCGAGGACCGTGCACTGACAGCGTCGCCCTGCTCGTCGCAGCTCGCAATCTCGGGTCTCGCACTCGCGCTTGCCTCCTTCTCCCTCTTCACCGTCCTCCTCGTCGTCTTCACAAAGCGCATGTGCGTGTCCAGTCGTCCATGTCGCCCGTATCTTTGACTGACCCATCCTCGCGATCCGCAGCCGGGCTCGTGATTCGGACGTCTACTTTCCACGCACCTCAACGCGACGCAGCACCTTCAACCCTTGGTCCAAGGAGCCGGTCGACGACCTGCGCACGCTCCTCGTTGTCCTTGGCCTGACCTGCATCGCGATTCTCGTGCGTCTCCCCGCTTCTCCTCCTTTCCACCCGGCTCCTTGAGCGGGCTCGCCCTCTGCATTCGGGGCGGACATCTCGCTCTCGGCCTGATCACGGACCTCCCCACACAGGTTCGGAGCGTCTTCCGCCTGATCGAGCAGTGCGACGGGTGGGGCCTCTCGCTTTCACGTCCTCTTTTCGTTCACTGTTGCCTTACTGACCTCTCTCGTTGCGCTCGCACAGCTTCTTTGGCTACATTGCCACGCACGAAGCCTATCTGTACGCGTTCGACTCGACGCCGCTCTGGCTCGGCATGGCGCTCTTCTGCGTCGTCTGGCCGCCTCGCCACGTCGCCGGCCTCAACGCTCAGCAGGACCCACTTCTCTTGAGCGAGCGTGGGCATGTCGCTCCTCGTGGCGCAGCGAAGCACTCGGGCGGCGCAAGGGCGCGCGGTGGAGCAGGGCTGGAGCAGCTTGGCGGAAAGTAGATTCGGGCGGAGCAGGGGTGCGCGCGGGGCGAAGCTAGCAAGCAGAGCTGGCAGTAGTACGATCGCGAGAGGACGACCATGAGCTTGGTGACTTCAGCTGGACGCTTGAGCGGTGTGCGAGGAGAAGAAGACGGAGGTGACGGTGGTCGAGGCGGTCGACGACGGCGGCGCGGCTTGCTGCAGGACCAAGGCCGAGGCTTGCTATTGAAGCATCTGGAGTGCAGCTAGCAGCCGACTGGTCCGCTCGAGAGGCCGCAAGGTGGTCGCCCGGGCCGCCGCGATGAGATCTTCATCGGTCCCCCCGTCCCTCTCACTCTCACTCGCTCACAACAGCTAGCCAGACGACAGGCTAGTCGCAGAGCACCCCATCAGCCTCCTCTCGACCGCCGAGCACTCGCCCACACAGCCCCGACCCGCCCTCGCTCATCTTCTTCCCCCTCTCGCCCTCGTCGCCGGCCATGGCCTACAACCAGTACCACGACCCGCGCGCGTCGGTCGACTACGCCGAGCACCTCCACGACGCCGGCGGTGACCCCTTCTCGTCGGGCCAGTACGCCGCAGGCCCGTACTCGGGCCTCCCGCTCGACGGCGGCGACCCCGAGATGGTGCAGCGCGACCGGCCCCTGTCCGACCTCGGCTCGAGCGAGGCCGGCGGCGCATCGGCCTACTGGCAGCCGGGCGCGCGCGGCTCGGTTGCGGGCGGCGCGGGCGGCGCGGGAGGGTACCTCGCCGGCGACGACTGGGTCGACGACACCGAGGGGCAGGACTCGTGGTGGAGGCGGCACCGGTGGGCGGCCATCGCGGGCATCCTCGCGCTCCTCGCCGCGCTCGCCATCGGCCTCGGCGTAGGGCTCGGCGTCGGGCTCAACAAGTCGAAGAACAACCGCGACTCGGCCCAGCTGAGCGATGGAAGGACGTCGTCGGGTGCGCCCCAGGGCAGCAGCGTCAGCGTCGGCACAGTCGTGTTTACGAGCACGAGCTTTGGGAGCGGCGGCAGCGGCGAGCCGCAGACGATCACGAGCACGTCCGAGGCGACGTCGGCCGTGCCGGACCCGACCCCGTCGTCGAGCTCTGAAGAGGACACGGCTCAGTCCTCCTCCTCTTCGTGCGTCCCGGTTCTCTCTCTCGCGCGCTCTCTCTCTCTCCGTAGAAAGACTGAGTCGCTCATCTCTGCAGGTCCACCTCCCCGCCCTCGTCCTCGTCCTCGCCGAGCAGCACGACGACGACCGAGCCGCCCACCTCGAGCACGACGCCGCCGCCTTCCTCGTCGTCCACCTCGAGCGCACCCGAGAGCAGCAGCACCCCGAGCAGCAGCTCGTCGTCTCAGCTGTCCGAGGCGCCTTCCTCTTCGACCTCGAGCGAGAGCTCGTCGACCACGCCCGCTCCGTCGAGTTCGAGCTCGGCACCCGCATCTTCGAGTGCGTCCCTCCTCCTACTTCCTCCTCGTACTCAGCGACGACACTGACTCGAGCTCGCCGCACCCAGCCACGACGCCTCCCGCCGAGTCGTCCTCGTCCTCGTCGCCGACCACCTCGCCCGCCGGCGCCGGCGCCTCGCCCGCCCAATCGACCGACGACCAGGGTGGCACGTACCAGTTCACGACGCGCCCCATCGTGCGTCCCTCTCTCCCACCTCTCTCACAACGAGAAGGTCGACTGACGCCCCGCAAGTCCCCCTCCCCGCTCTCCCCGTCGTCCGCCTCGCGCCCTTGACCGGCTCGTCGCGCAGGTCAACCCGGGCGGCTTCACGATCGGGACCTTGACGGGCTATGTCACCATCTCGGCGTGAGCCGGCGAGCCCCCCGCCTCCTTCCCCCTCCTTCCACCCTCTCTTCTCCTCTCCTCGCCCGCCTCGCGTGCTCAACAGACACTTCCCCTTCTCGCCCCTGCGTCCTGTCGCTCCTTCGCCTTTCCCCTCCCACACATTTGTCACTCGCTCTGTAACCACTACCTTCTCTCTCTACTCGTCGAGCTGTATAGATCTGAAACTCGAGCCGACCTTGCTGTCGAATCCGAGGCTCGCGCATAGCCTACCCAGCTCGCTTGTTCGCTCGTTCGCTCGCGTCAGTCTCTCGGTTTCTGCTTCTCCTCGCTCGCGGAAAGAGAGTCGCCAGCTCTCGCAGCACAGCGCACGAGCCCGTCTGCACACAGCTCGCCTTTCTCGCTCGCTCGCACACCTCTACAGCCACCGTCCGACCTCCCTCGCGCCTTCCTCGCCCTCGCCATCTCCCGCACCGCCTGCGAGAGCCCCCTTCCAGCGCCACCTACCCTTGCCCTTGCCCCCCTCCCTCTCCCTCCACTCGCTCACCCAGGTTTGGACAAAGTCGACCTCGGCGCGGTGAATCTTGGCGATCTCGGGCGGCTCGGTGCGGCCGGGAGGGAGGCCCTGCGGGTGCGGCGGGAGGGATGGACGAGGAGGGGCGGGCGAGAGGAGCGGGGGAAATGAAAGAGGCGGAAGAGGGTCAGGATCTAGTCGGCCGGCTCGCGAGAGCGCGACAGACAAGGAGAGACAGAGAGAGAGAAGGAGAGAGGGCTCACGTTCTCGTCCCAGTGGTGCACGCCGCCCTTGATGAGCTTGAACGGGCGCTTGAGCGTGTCCTTGCGGTGCGGGTTGGGCGCCGTCGGCGAGTGGGGCGTCGCGTAGAGCCAGGCTGCGGCGCGACGAGGTTAGTCAGGTTTTTCGACTCGTGACAGCCGATCGAGAGGAGGGAAAGGAGAGACGCACGGTCCTCGCTGCCGTCGACGAACGCGAGCCGCGAGTGCGACAGGTTGGCGCCGCCCAACTGGTTGACCGCCGTGATGTTGGGCATGACCGGTACGCCTGCGACACGTAGAGATGTCATGAGAGGTGACAGGGAAAAGGAAAGAGAGAGAGAGAGAGGCGGACGCACGGTTGAGCTCGCCGGGCGGGAACGCCTTGCGGCAGATCTTGCTCGTGTACTCGACCGTCAACAGGCGCGACACAAGCGACGGCGTGCCCTCGGGCGCGGCGCCGATGAAGTAGCCCCACTCGGTGCAGAACTGGTACGCCCACGAGCGCCACTCGTAGTCGTCGAGCGCGTCGCCCGGGTACTCGTCCGTCCCGAAGCACGCGTCCTGCGACTCGTCGGGCGGGCACAGCGGTGCGACGTGCTGCTTGACGTACTCGCCGTACGCCGCGAGGCTCGCGATCGCCTTGCGCGGGTCCTGCGGGAACGAGGTGGCGCCGAGGGTCGGGGAAAAGGCGGCGACGAGCGAGTCGGACAGGGCGGACGCGGCGATGGCGGTTGACGTCTTGTTCGTCAGGGCGGCGCAGAAGGCGTCGAAGCGAGAGCTGCCGACCGCGCCGTCCCAGTTGCGCGCCTGCCACGACCCGAGCGGGATCGCAAGCGCGTTGACAAAGTCGGCGTCGGACGTGACGTTGTCGAGGCCGAACAGGGCCTTGAGCGGCGGCGTGAGGAAGGGCGAGTTGAGGGCGAGCATCGTGTCGACGAGAGAGGTGCTCTCGACGAGGCGCTCGATGCAGTCGGCCGGCGCAGAGGCGCGGATGGGCTGTCGAACGAGTTCGAGGTGAGCGGCAAACCTCGCGGCGACAGGCGCACACAAGAGGGGGTACAGACGCACCTCGTAGTACTGCCAGAAGTCGACGATGGCCGTCGTGACCGCCGAACTGGCGATGGCGCCGTCAAAGACGTCCGGATGAAGCTTTCTCGCGAACGCCGCCTTGGCGCCGGCGTACGAGCCACCGATATAGTACCACGGGGCGGCCGATCCGGCGGTGAGGTTGACGTGCTCGAGACCAGGGATCTTGACGGTGCGGGCGAAGTGCGCGCTGTCGTGGAGCGACTGGCGGGTGTCGAGGAAGCGCAGGTCGTCCGTCGAGAGCGACTCGACAGGGAACGACTCGCCGTAGTACCGGTGCTCGAGAATGATGCCGAGGCCGTGCGTGGCCCGACTGAGGATGGCGAGGATGCCCTGGCGCAGGAACGGGATGCGGCCGGCGCCGTCCGTCTCGCCGCCGTCGAGGAGGAAGACGGGTCCACCGGGCTTGTAGTGCGACGCGTCGAACCAGTAGCGCTGCGAGAAGGTCGCGTTGGGCGTGGAAGGTGGAACGGCCTGTGTGTGTGCTCGTGTCAGCTCTGCGCGGAAGGAGGACCGGGAGGGAGGGGACGCACCGGGTCGTGCGAGACGAGCTGCTGGAACGTGTGCGCCGGGTAATCTTGCACCGTCTCGGCACTCGAGAAGGCCAGCTGGTCGGCTCCTGCAGGCCACGCCGGTCCTTGTGCGAGTTGTGCGGCGGCGCGCTCCTGCGCGGCGAGATGCCGATGAAGGCCGAGAGGAAGGGCGGGTACGCCGTCGCGCAGCGCTCTGGTGGTCAAGAGCGGCTCTGCTGCAGCGAGAGAGGCCAGCCCAGCAAGGGCGAGGTGCACGACGAGCATGGTGCGGTGGTGGAAGGCGACGACCGCGCGGCCCCACCTCTCGAGCGGAGAGACGCGACGAGCGCTCGCGATGGAGTGTATGGTCCGGGTACTGCTGCTGCGTGATGCACTGCTATCTACAAGTCTACAACAATCGCGAACAAAGCCGGCCCGAGAGGTCGACCACCTCGTCTACCTCCTCCTCCAGCGCCGCCGCCGCTGCCGCCGCTCGACAAAGTGGCACCGCCGCTGCCCGCCCTCGACTCGATCACGCCATGAGGTCGCCGGAAGGATCTGCGCCCATCCTCGTCCACACGGCGGCGTAGTGCCCGTCGACCGGGCCTCCCTCGCCGACCGAGAAGTGCGTGTGCTGGTCGCCCATGGCGGCGCACATCTCGCTCGCCGAGTGCTGCAGGCCGAGCGTCACCTTGATCTGCGGCGGGCTGCGCTCGTACTCGACGAGCTTGGGCTCCTCGGCGTCGGCCGACGAGGGCCGCTCGGCGTTGAGCGCGTCCGTCTCGAGCGAGCACATGATGTTCTGCACGGCGACGCCCGCCTGGTTCCACCCGGTGTGGCCCGCCTTGATGACGCCGGCGGCAGCGACCTGCGGAGCGAGAGAGCGTGTCAGTACCGGCGAGGGAGGACGGCGACGAGGACGAGAGAGAGAGAGAGCGGGTCGCACGTCGCCGATCGAGTACACGTTGCGCCGCAGCTTCTCGCTCCGCTTGTCGGCATCGGGCACGCCTGCAACGTCGACCTGGAGCGTCGGGCGGATCTTGACGAACCCGTGCTCGTCGAGCGCCTCGGGCAACCACTGGCCGAGGAGCTGCGAGTTGGGCTTCTGGCCGGTGCAGCGCAGCTGTGGGGGCAAGGCGACCGAGTCAGTACTGCGCCGCTCGGGACCGAGAGGCGAAGGAGAGAGGGACAGAGAGGACGCACAAGGAGGTCGTACTCGAGCTCGCGCCCGTCGCGAAGCTTGACCGTCTTGAGCGTCCCGGGCGCATCCTCGTCCTGCGGCGGGAGCGCGAGCCGCTCACCGAGGACAACCTCGACGCCGAGCACCTCGAGCCGTCGCACGACCTCGTCGTGCATCTCCTGCTTGTACGCGGGCATGAACCGGTCGCGCGAGTGGACGAGCGTGACGCGCTTCTTGGGCGGCGGCGCCTCGCCCTCGGCGAGGCCGAGGTGCGCGACGTTGTGCGGGTTGTTGTACAGGTCGGCGATGTCGGTCGCGAACTGGATGCCGAGGGCGCCGCCGCCGGCGATGAGGATCTTGGTCGCGCGCTTGATCTCGGCGCCGCGGCTCTCGAGGAAGGCGACGCCGTCCTTCTTGGTCCTTGCCGTCGACGTGAGGCATGGTGGAAGCTGGCACCCGAGAGCCTGTACCGTCGAGGATGGGTTAGTATCACTCGCGGCAAGCTTTCGCGCGTCGGCGGTCGGCCGGGCGTGGAAGGGAAAGGGGGAAAGGGAGGAAGGGATGGACACACGTAGATCATGTATTCCCAGCTCAGCCTCCTCGTCGACAGCTTCTTGTCCCTTGGCGCAGCGTCCAGCCTCGCCGACTCGAGCTCGTCGGTCAACGACTCGATCTCGTCGGCCTCGCCCTCGAGGTCGCGCTCGTGCTCGAGCAGGTCGCGGTCGAGCTCGATAAAGTCATCGTTGAGCGACGTGACCGAGGCGTGGATGACGACGTGGCGCGCCTTGTTCGACAGCGGGAGCGAAGCGTTGGTCGCGGCGGCGGCGGGTGAAGGGATGATGCCGCCGAGCGGGATGAAGGTCTTGTGCGAGTGCCCGGGGACGACACTCACTCTGCGAAATCGGGTACGAGTCAGCGAGGCGTCCCTTGGAGTGCGGCGGGAGGAGACGCACCGAGGGTGAAGGTACAGGTCTGCGAGGGACGAGAGCGAGTCAGCGTCGAGTCGGCGGCACCGTCTGGCTAGTGCCGCGCACAGGGCCACACTCCGCCCTGCTGTCCGACCTGTCCTCGACGCACGCGGCCCGCTGCCGGCGCTGCCTCGATCGCCGAGCACAGCCACCCGTAAGAGCAGGCTCGGCCGGCCGCGAGCCCAACGCCAGGACGCTCAGGCGACGAAGGAGAGACGACGGGACTCACGGTTGAAATGGCTGTGCGGCGTGTGCGGGCGCAAAGAGTCAGCTTATGCGCGAGGAGGCGAGCGAGACGGGGCCGCGGGACCTTCACCGCCACGGCGACTCGGGCGCGAGTGAGAGAGGGACGCACGTCTGGCGGTCGATGACGACGACGCGGTGTGTTGAAGGGAGGGTGCGCGACAGGAGCTCGGCCGCTCGTGCGCCTGTGGGCGAGGGAGGCGAGTGTTCAGCGGTCGGCTGCGCCGGCGGGAGGAGGAGGAGGGCGAGGTGAGCGCACCTGCGTAGCTCGCGCCGAGGATGACGACGTTGCGGGTAGCAGCTGGTGCAGCGAGGGCGACCATGGCGAGTGCTGGTGTGATGTAGGGCGAGCGAACAGAGCCATCAGATTGTGGCCGGACTTGATCTGGGCGGACGTTCGCCTCGGCGACCACCTCGCTCCGCTTGCTCGCTTTCCTCCTCTGTCCTCTCTGAGCTCGAGCTCGAGAGAGTTCTCCGATCGCTCGCCAGAACTGTGACCGGGCCGGCTTGGCACAGTGAAACCGCGTCGAGTGCTCCGTCGTTTCGCAGCGCTCTGCCGACGCTTCGTATTCGCCTCTTGCAAATCTCGAATACGAGCGAATTAGACTTGCTTGACCTTCGCAGTGCTCTTTGCCGTCAACATCGCTCGCAGTCGTCAAAATCCCCGGTCTTGCGAGTCGCGCGAGCTCTACGCTGAGACGGTCGGCGGGAGAGGCTCGAGCGCCGCGCAAAGTTCGGCCGGCGCGCGGACCGCTTCTCGTCCACCGGCCGACGCCGGCCGCGGCACGAGCGAGTGTCTTTTCCCGCCTCAGCCGACCTTTGGCGTTGGGCCGCTCGCCGTCTCAATGCTTCGTACGGACGCTCTGGCTGTTGCCGACGGACAGGAGGCGAGAGGGAGGGAAGAGAAGTTTCAGCGGCGGCCGGGCCGAGCGAAGCTCCTTTGTGAAACGATGACGGCGACGGCGCGGTCGAGCTTTCGCCCTCTCGGTCCTCCCCTCCTCCCACCACACGCTGAAAAGCTCAGCGCCAGCCATGCTGCCTCGTACCGCCATCTCGAGCCTCAAGGCCGCCCTCCCCCGCCGCACGTTCGCGACCTCGGCGCGCTTGTCGAGCGTCCTCCCCCGCCAGCCGGTCGCTCCTCTCGCGACCACCGAGGCCGTCCCTCGCCGCCGCGGTGTGGCCTCGACCCCGCCCGTGCTCGACCCGCAGGAGCCGTCGTACGCCAACGTGCGCGAGGACATCGTCATCCCGTACCCGGAGTGCGTCCCCCCCTCTCTCGTCGCCTTATCCTCCTCGTCAAGACTCGAGCTGACCACTGTCTTTGTCCCGCAGGGAGTCCGACTTCCCGCCCGATGACCTTGGCCACAACATGGAGGGTCCCGACGTCGACGTCGGCCGTCACAACCGCCGCACGCTCGCCTCGTTCTCGATGACTGGCAAGGTGCGTCCTCTCTCGCCTTTTTTTTGGCGACCGGTTCGGGCGGTGATACCTCGAGGGAGCACAGACGAGCCGAGGAGTCTGCCCTGCCGCAAGCTGGCGAGCGCGAGGCGCTCGTTCGGCGCGCAAAAGGTGCAACGTGGACAAGCGCGGTGGGGCCGATCGGACCGCGTCGGCGAAATTCCCAGCGGCCGCACCCTCGCGATACTTGGCCAAGGACCAGCACTGACGAGCTTCTCTACTACCGTGCGCAGGTCTGCGTCGTCACCGGTGCTGCTCGCGGCGTGAGTCTGTCTCTTCCAACCCCTCCCCGCGCTGCCGGCCGAGAGGGTCGTCACGACCTTCTCTTCGGCCCCCGCCTTTGTCGTTCCCTTCTTTTGCGGAGCGCGCAAGACGCTTGTCGAGGCACACTCAACTGACAACGAGCCGCACACAGCTCGGCAACCTCATGGCGCGCACGTTCGCCGAGTCGGGCTCGAACCGGATCGTCATCCTCGACCTCGACAAGAAGATGGCCGAGACGGCCGCCGTCGAGCTCGTCGAGTGGTTCGAGGAGCACGGCCAGGCCCAGAAGGGCGAGATCCAGGCCATCGGCCTCGGGTGCGACGTGTCGAACGAGCAGGAGGTCAAGGACTGCTTCTCGACCGTCGTCGACAAGTTCGGCCGCGTCGACGTCCTCGTCACGGCTGCCGGCATCGTCGGTGCGTCCCACGTCTCTCTCCTTCAGCTGTGTTTCGTATACTGACGGCGAGGTCGTCGGCGTGCGCGCAGAGAACTTCCCGGCGACCGAGTACCCCGCCGACAAGTTCCGCAAGCTCATGGGCATCAACGTCGAGGGGTGCGTCCTCTCTCTCTTCCTTGCATCCCTCGCAAATACTGACGCCCCGCCTTGACCCGCAGCTCGTTCTACTGCGCTCGCGAGGCCGCCAAGGACATGATGAGGCGCGAGGCCCAGGGCTCGATCGTCCTCATCGGCTCCATGTCGGGTGCTGCCGTCAGTGCGTCCTCATATCTCTCTGTGTCACGTCGGACGAGGCAGAGCGGGTCAGTGGCCGCGACAGAAGGTCTCGAGCTCGAGCGGCGGGAAGAGGTCCGAGCCCGACTGACTTTCTCTTCCTCCTTCTTTCCCTCCCATCACCCTCTCCTACAGACGTCCCGCAGCCGCAGGCTCCCTACAACGCCTCTAAGGCCGCCGTCCGCCACATGTGCTCGTCGCTCGCCGTCGAGTGGGCGCCCAAGAACATCGTGAGCTTTCTCTCCTCCTCGCCCCTTCCTCTCGTCCCGGTTCTCTCCGCTAACGCCTCTTTCTTCACCCAGCGCGTCAACTGCATCTCGCCGGGCTACATGGCCACCGCCCTCACCCGTGTCATCCTCGACCGCGACCCGGTCCTGCGCGACGCCTGGGGTGCGTCCCCTGCTTCTCCCGCCTCTTCTTCCATCGTCCAGACGCTAATTTATCGCTTCGATCAAAAGTTTCCTTAACACCGATGGCCCGGCTGGGTGACCCGGAGGACCTCAAGGGTGCGTCGGCGCGTTCCCTGACCTCTGCGGGAGCCGGCGGTCGAGTCCTGACCCTTTTCCGCCTTCAGGAGCCGTCATCTACCTCGCGTCGGACGCCTCGGCCTTCACGACCGGCGCCGACCTCCGCGTCGACGGTGGCTACACCTGCAGTGCGTCCTCGCTCGTCCTCGCCGTCGAGAAGGGCGCCCCGACTGACCTCGTCCTCCTCGCGCAGCGTGAACGCCCTTCTCTTGGTCACGTTTCCTCTCCTCGCGCCCCTTTCCTCTCTCCCTTTCGTACCATGCTCGAGCTCTCGCCGAAATTAGAAGTCGTAATGCCCTCTCGAGCCGTCGTCGTCGTCGTCGAGAGAGTCCTCGAGCCTGGTGCGGTCGAGCCTCTTTTCAGCGACCGAGCAGGCAGCTTCTCTCGCTTCTCGCAATCTCTCAGGCCGCTCGAGAGGCTGAAAGTGTGCTCTAGAGTGATGCATGGCAAGTCTCGACACAGCTCGGCACGAGCGTGGCCCTCAGGGAGACCCGTCCGTCCCGCTCGCCGGTCCCGCCTTGAATACCTCGGGCCAGATCGTCCGCAGCTCTGCAGGTGTACGCGAGAGTGTCAGTGAGAGATCGAGGAGAGGGACGCGTGCGCGACTCGCCCGAGACGAGAGAGAGGGAGAGAAACGCGAGGAACGCACCCTCGAGATCGTGCACGACGCTCACTCGCGGCTTCTCTGCGTCTCCCGCCTTGCCCTCGTCCTCCTCCCCAGCAGTGGTCGTCTCGACCGACCCAAGCCTGTCCTCCTCGCTGCCGCCCTCGTCAAACAGGACGCAGTGCCGCCACCCGAGGCCGTTTGCGCCGCGCACGTTCAGGGCCGAGTCGTCGACAAAGTAGAGCGACGAGACGGGCGGAGGAGGGGTCGAGACGTGTCGCAGAGCGTCGTTGAAGAAGGCTGTGGCGCGCGAGAGAATCGAGAGTGAGGGTGCGCGACGAGGGAAACGCGCGAGGAAGGAAAGGGAAGGCGCACCGGCTTCGGGCTTGCACGAGAACTCGCCGGCGCCATAGTCGCACGAGATGACGCCCTCGAGCTGGTCGGCGATGCCGAGGAGGTTGAGGACCCGCGTTGCGTGCTGTGGCCGGGCGGGAGCAGGGTCAGCGACGTTCTCGAGGCGGGCCGAACCGTCGCCGCCGAGAGAGAGAGAGAGAGGGTGACGCACAATCTTGTACGCGTTGGTGAGAGCCCACACGTGGCACTTGTCGCGGTCAATGTCGGCGAGCAACCGGCGCAGCTTGGGGTCGTCCTTGAGGACCTCGTCGAGCGGGAGGGCGGCGTCGCAGTGCTTGTCGTAGTCGAGCGCGTCGACGGCGTGGTGGCGGACGAGTCCTCGGATCGCGAGGCCGTACTCGCGGTAGTAGTGCGAGTGCAGGTCCTTGGCCTCGTCGTCCGACAGGCCGAGGCGGCGGAAGTAGGCTGCGGGCGACGAGAGAGAGGTTCAGCGAGAGTTCCCTCTGCGACGGCGGCGTGGAGGGACGCACCGCGGATCTTGCCCTTCATCATCTCGGCGATGCCCGCATCCTTCGAGCTGCGCACAGGCGAGGACAGGGTCAGCTCGAGGTGCTTCACCCCCACCCGCCGACGCGGCCGGCTCCCTCGCGCCCTCACGGACCGCCAAGAGAGAGGGGGCGTGGACTGACTACAGGCAGTTGTCGATGTCGAAGAACACGACGAGTTTGCCGTCTGCAGGGCCAGGAGGAGGTCGTGGCGAGCCATCTGAGGGCCAGGTGCACTGAGCTGCGGGCGGCGAAGCGAGGTCAGCGCGGGTGCGAGAGAGGCTACAGAGTGAACGACAGGACGCACTGTGGCTCTGTAGTGCTGGCTGGACAGTCATCGAGCGTGTGCGAGGAGAACGAGGTTGGTTCGAGGACGCAGCCGACGTCGGCTCGCCCGAGCAACGTGCACCGTCGCCCGCTCTCCTCTCGGCTCTCGTGCGGGCTGCGCGACTGGTACTGACCGACTAGAGTTCCAGGAGAACGAGGGCACTAACGAAGACAGGGAGACTATGGACATTTTCGCCGCGGACCGGCGCAGGACGAGGAGGAACGACGAGCTCGTCACGGTGCAGCGCCGGGCCAGAGCTCGGCGCGACCAGTCGACGAGACGCCAAAGTCGCACGACGACGAGCGCGACGTCGAGCGCGTCGGCGCCGACGACGTCGTAGGCGAGCTCGACGTGGACGACGCGCGAGCCTGCGACTCGAGGTACGAGCGCGGTGACGGCGGGTCGGGCCCGTAGAAGGGCAGGCAGCGCGCGACGACGTCCTTGGCGCACTCGACGTACTCGAGCGGCGCCGACGAGTTGGACAGCTGAAGCTGGAGGAGGTCGAGCAGGGCGTTGGTCGGCCACAGGTCCATCGACGGCGCGAGGTCGGCCTCGCTGTCGGGGAGCAGGGACAGCGGCACGATCGGCGTGGCGTCGAGGTTGTCGTCGATGAAGGCGTGCAATGTGGGCAGGCCGTGATGGTACTCGTCGCGGGTGCAGACGGCGGTGCGAGGAGGGCTGAGGTCGAGCGGTGGCGGCGGCGGGCCCGAGCCTGAGCGCTTCCTCGCGAGGAGAGCAGCGCTGAAGGAGGGCGACCTTGTGCGTCGGGCAGGAACAGGCAGCGACCGCTGCGGGTGGAAAAGGGAGTCACGAACGTCGCTCGGTCGAGCCGAGAATCGCTCGAGGCGAGCTGCTCACCTCGTCCGCCTTGAGCGCGCGCTTCTTGGCCCGCTTCTGGCGCTCGGCGACAGACTCGAGCGTCGTGTCAGGGCTTGCGAGGCCTGCAACCTTGCGAGCGGCGCGCGTATCGCGACGGACGGCGGGCACTGGAGGAGGGCGTTGTCAGTGACTGCGCCTCGAGGAGCAGGACAGGGCGCGAGAGCGAGGACGCACTGATGCTGCTGCTTGAAGGGGTAACAAGTGTGGGACGGTGGAGAGAAGGAGAAGCACCAGAGCGAGCGAGCAAGAGAAGCGGTCTCCGCGCCCCGCTGCCGTCCCCTTCGCCGCGCAGGCTCCGCGCCGGCGAGAGCCCGACAGGAGGCGATCGGCGCTAGCTCACGAGAGGAGACGGACGCTCCCACGGCACAGGAGAGACGGACGCTCCGGCACCGGACGCGCGGGCGAGGCGCGAGCAGGCGCGGAGCGAGATGCAGCGAGGCAGTGAAGCAGTGCCTGCAGTGGGTTCGCAAGCGAGCACGCAGAGCTGCTCGTGCGCACGAGCGGGTCGGCGGAAGTGGCTGTGTAGCGCGAGAGGAAAGGGAGGCGAGCGGACGAACACCGAACGAGGAGATGACCGCCGGCTCTTGAGTCCACCGCTCTGCTCGTGCTCTTGCTGCTGCTTGTACCTCGCCAGACTCCAGCCATGGCCGACACGCCCGCTCAGCCCGCCATCCTGCGCCTCCCCGTCGAGCTGCACCTCCGCATTCTCCTCGACCCGACCCTGTCCTACTTCGACCTGCACCGCTTCTCGCGCGTCTGCAAGCACTTTCGCCGTCTTCAGCAGGTGCGCACACCCTCTCGCACCCACTCCCCCAGTCCCGAGCGGTGAGCTGACACCCTCTTGTCCCCCCTCCTCCCCGCCTCCTCCCCTCCCCACCTCGCGTCCTCGGCACTCGCAGAACTCGCAGCTCGACTCGCGCCTGTTCCGCCGCGGGTACCCTGTCGACCGCAAGCGCTTTGGTCCACGCAACCACCCGGCCAAGAGGGGCCACAAGGTCGCGTTCCACCCGGTCCTCAACCTCGTCTCGCTGAGCCGCCCCGACCTCGACGAGGCCGACATTGCCTGCTACGGCTCGCGCGCCGGCCGCGACGACGGCGACGACGACGACGGCAACGCCGCGCCGCGCTACTACAAGCCTCTCGACCTGCCCGTCGCCAACGAGTACGCGACGTCGCCGCCGTGCGCCAAGCTCATGTTCCTCGCCGGCACCGAGCCCGTCATCGCCGACGCCGGCGGCGTGCGTGTCCGCTCCGTCATCGAGGTCGTCACGGCCATGTGGGCCTCGCCTGCGCCGGCCGAGGTCCAGATCCAGGAGATGTTGCAGCGCGAGGGCGACGGCGAGGACGAGTGCGACTGGGCCGAGCTGCGCGAGGGGCTCATTGAAGAGCCGGGCGACATGAGCATGTGGGAGACGCTCGGCGACAACACGTTCTGGGCCGGCATGCGCCGCGCCATCTGCGTCCAGGACGGCGTCGTCGGCCTCGAGCCTAACCCGTTCGACTGAGTCTCCACGGTGCGTCGGCCTTTCCTCTCTCTCTCTCCTTTCCCGTTCTCCTCGACACGTCTCCTGCTCTTTGACACGTTCCACAGCAACGTCCCTCGCACCGCGACGACCCCTCGCTTTTCCCTCCCCTCTGTGCCACTCTCTCGCCTCGCTTGATCGCTTCGCCTCTCTCTGCAACGCCGGTTCGTCAACTTCAGACAGCCCGATCGCCCGAGAGAGAGAATCGCTCGCTCGGTGAATCCCGTGCGCGAGAGCAGCCCGCCGTCTTGCGCTAGCAAACGAAGGCTTCGCTCACCGTGCTGTCACAGGCCCGTCCAGCCTTGCGCCGTATGCCGGACCCGCTCCTTGCGTGAGCCCGGCTTCTCGCGACAGTCAGAGACTCGCAGGCCCAGCTCGAGCGGAAGAGAGCTCGCCGGACGACGTCAAGCGCCGCACGAGCCGGGGCGCCAAGCGGGAGACAGGACCGAGCGTCGAGCCAGAGCGCAAGCCTCTCGGGGTCCTCGTCCTCAGTGACTCTTAGTAGCTCTCGGTCAGTGCAACGCAGTGCTTCTTTTGCAGTCTCGAGTCCGGGAAAGCGGTTCCCGCCTTTGTCTCCTCGGCGAGCGAGAGCGGCTGCAGTCGGTCAGGGCGCACGTACATGCGCGCTCACGAGGAGCGAGAGGAGATAAGGCCAAGGCCAGCCGAGAGCTGTCGAGCGAGCGAAGCGCGGACGAGCGAGCGGCCCGAGCGGGGGAGCGCAACTTGGGAAGGCCGCCAGCCGGAACGAGCGCTTCCTCTCGCGCCATCGTCGACGAGCTCAGCACCGCTGTATCTCTCGTCGGACAGACACACTAAAAGACACAGAGAAGGGTGACCTCGTTGCAGCCTCGCAGAACCCGCTCAGAAGAGCCACACGGTCTCGATGTCGCCCGAGCCCGTCATCTCGAGCGCGATGCCAGGGAACCCGTGGATCTCTGCGCGCAGAGCCAAGGCCTAATCAGTCGAGCTCGACGAGACGGATCGACGACGAGAGAAGAGGAGGAACGTGCGCGACGCACCCGTCGTCTTGCCCCGGACGCCGTCCTTGCCGTCGGCCGTCCGGTCGAGGATCATCGGTGGCTCGTCGCCCATCGCGAGCTCGCCCTCGCGCCTGCTCGACTCGCCCGCCGCCGCGCCCTGACCCTGCGCGCCGGCCCTCCCATCGCCGCCTCGCCCCAGCCCGTCCTCGCCGCGCAGGAACGCCCGGACAGTTCCCCAGCCCTCGTCGGTCCCTCGCCTCTCGCCCTCGTCGGCGTCGGCGACACGCCCCTCGTCGCCTGCCGCAGGCGCGACGAGGACGCTGGCGGCGCGCGCCGTGCGGCCGAACTGGACCTCGCCGGGGAGGTTCGAGTGGAGGAGGATCTTGAGGAGGGTGTGTGGCGGGATGGGGCGGGTCGAGGTGGACGAGGTGGAGGGGGAGGAGGAGAGGAGGAGGGTGAGGCCGAGGTGCGGGTAGGAGAGGAAGTAGGGGTTGGCTGCGGGTGGCGGGAGGGTCAGCTGGGCGGGGCGGGGCGGCCGAGGAGAGACAGTGAGAGGGGGCGCACGCTCGAGTGCGGCATCCGACGACGACCGAGCCTCGAGAGACGCAGTGTGGATCGACAGGCGGTCCTGCAAGGGCGCACGGGGCGAGGTAAGCTCCGCCGCTCGACCCGAGGCCCGCGCGAGAGAGAGGAGGAGAGAGTGGACGCACGTCCTCCTTCCAGAACGTCCTGACGGCCGCCCCAAGGTCGCACAGGATGTCCTCGCTCGTCGTCACGCCGACGCGGAGCTCGACGGGCGCGAGCGCGGTCGTCGGCTGATGGAAGTGGAGCTCGACGTGGGTCGGCCGGCGGGTCGGGTCGAGCTGTGCGAGACGCAGGGTCGCCAAGCGTCAGTCAGGACTTGCGCGTAGATCCAAACGGATGGCCGGGCGAACCGAGGGGACGCACATGGATCTCGGCGAGGCGCAGGTCTCCTTGAGCGACGGCGGGCGAGTCGGGCAGCGCAGGGTGGAGCCACGCTTGGTCGACGGGGACGCCGTCGGGCGCAGGCAGTGCCGTGACGACGATGCGGTTCATGGTCGACCCTGCGGCGGTGGCGCGTAGAGCTAGTCAGTGACGAGACGGCGAGAGAGATAAGGAAAGAGGGAGGGAGACGCACCCGACCCCGTGCGCACGACACCGAACGCGACGCCCGGATAGCTCAGCATTTCCTCCGCTCCCTGCGTGCCCTCGCCGCCCGTGCTCGCCCTCGAGCTGCCGTACGTCGGGCCCAGCACGCGCCGCACCGTCTTGACCACGTCGTCCTCGTCGTCGCCGCCGCCCCGAGCGCCTGCGTAGTCGCCCGACAGCGACGAGGAAGTGCGCAGGCGCTTGCCGCGGTACGACACCCAGGCGTCCGGCTCGGGACCGAGGACCTCGATGCGCGCGAGGCGCTGCGCGAGGGGCGAGAAGGTGAGGTGGAGGGGTGGGGAGGAGAGGGTGAGGTGTACGGGCGAGGTCGAGGGGGCCTGTTGAGGGTGCGATGAGGTCAGCTCCACGCGCAGGTACGCTCACAGGGGAGCCGCCGCTCGCTGTCGACGAGCTGGCGGGATCCCCCACATCGAGACGAGGACGAGCGAGAGGCCGAACACGCACCTGCTCGTCCCACGCGACCTTGACGGACGGGTAGGTGGAGCGGAAGGAGCGGACGTGGTTGAAGACGTTGAACAGGGCGCTGCCTGTGCACCGTGGGGCAGAGAGTCAGACGCGGCGGTCGCTCGGTGGGGCTTCGAGGAGGAGGAGGAGGAGGGCGCACCGAGGCGGAAGGGGCCGAGCGAGTCGCCGGGCACGAGTGCGAGAGGCTCGGTCATGGCTCTGGTGGGAGCAGTCGCGCTGTAGCAGGTCGAGGGAGAGAGCTGAGCGAGGTGGGGGCGAGCGAGACGAGCTCTCGGTCGAGCAAAGCGTGGCCGCCGGTTCTCTCCGCCGAGGTTCAGCCTGGCTGCAAAGCTATTCGTGCGTCCTTCTGCCGGATCAAGAGCCGGACAGAGCTGCACTGGAACGAGCGACTCGAGTGCATGCTGGCGGAAACGCCGAGACACGTTCGAGGTGGGCGCGTTTTCGCTCCAAGCTGCTCGCGCTCTCTCGCTCTCCTCCTCCCTCTCTCCCTCACCACCACTTTCTTCACACGGTGAGTCTTTCTGCACCTCGCCCCGTCCTTCAGCCCTGCCCGCCCTGGGACTCGCACGCGAACAGCCACTGATCTCGCTCTCCTCCCACCCCTCCCCTCCTCGAACGTTTTCACCTCTCTCTTCTTCACCAACCTCGCCAGATCATCATGGGCTTCTCCGAGTTCACCTCCCCCGCCGGCCTCCAGGGCCTCGAGGCTCACCTCGTCCACGTCTCGTACATCGAGGGGTCCGTCCACTCTTCTCTTTCCCCCTCCCTCCCCTCGCGCTCTCGCCTCGCCCGCCGCATGTCCACCCGGTCGTCCATACACGATGAACACTACGCTTTGGTCCGTGTTTCCGAGGAAGGGAATTAAGACGCCCGCCAAACGCTGAAGAAACCTACCCTTTTCCAAGCCTTCTGAACCCGCGACCCTGGACATGCGTCGGCGACGACGACGACGACGAGCAGCCCCTGTTCTCACACGAGCCCGGCACTGACTCGTCCACGCCCACAGCTTCACCCCGTCGCAGGCCGACGTCGCCGTCTTCAAGGCGCTCCCGTCCGCCCCGGACGCCGCCACCTACCCGCACACCGCGCGCTGGTACAAGCACATCCAGTCGTTCGAGGCCGAGCACGAGACGCTCGCCGGCGACGCCACCAAGGCCTACACCGCCTACGGCCCGTCGACCTCGGCCGGCGCCACCGCCCCGGCTGCCGCCGCCGCCGACGAGGACGACGACCTCGACCTGTTCGGCTCGGACGACGAGGAGGTCGACCCCGAGGCCGAGGCCCTCAAGCAGAAGCGCCTCGCCGAGTACGCCGCCAAGAAGGCCAACAAGCCCAAGACGATCGCCAAGTCGCTCGTCACGCTCGACGTCAAGCCGTGGGACGACGAGACCGACATGAAGGAGCTCGAGGCGTTTGTGCGCTCGATCGAGAAGCCGGGTCTCGTGTGGGGCCTGTCCAAGCTCGTGCCCATCGGCTACGGCATCAAGAAGCTCCAGATGACGACCGTCATCGAGGACGAGCTCGTCTCGCTCGACGAGCTCCAGGACCAGCTCGCCGAGGAGGGTGAGGAGTGGATCCAGGTGCGCCCCGCTTTCCCTCTCTCTCTCTCTCTCTCTCTCTCTCTCTCTTTCTCGTGTGCGTCTTCTGTTCGGGAGCTGACTCGTCTCCCTCGCAGTCGTCGGACGTTGCCGCCATGGCCAAGATCTAAGGATCTCGTCCTTCCTTCCTGCAGTACCACCTGTTGTCGCCATCCACGGCGCCCGCCTCGTGAGCGTGCGCCCTCGTCAAGGTCCTCGCGAGGCTGTCCGGCTACACCGCTTCTGGTCTCTGCCTCGGCGTCGACGTCGTCTCGGGCCTTCTCGCTCGCGCCTTCCCGACGTGCGCCCTCCTCTCTCTCCATCGTTCTGCGCGCTCACTCTCTTTCTGCCTCCCTCCTCCTTCCTCCCTCCCTCCTCCTTCCTCCCTCCCTCCTCCTTCCTCCCTCTCTCTCCTCCTCATTCACCTCACCAGCGCATGCCTGCCCTCTCCCTCTGTCCTCGGACAGACGCGCCCGTCAGTCGGCCTTGGTTGATCGGCCCGGCCGTGATCCATGGGAGAGGCCATTAACAAGCGTCTGGAAGATCCACAAGGCCCCTCCACACTCGCGCGCCTTGCTCCCCACGGCGCGTGGGCACTTCAGTTTGGTACCTGACACCTTTTCGTAGAGCGAGGACTTTGTGCAACGCTGCCACGTCTCCCTCATCGTTCCTCTCCGTCTCGGTCCGCCGAGAGCCTTGAGCGAGTCTGAGCGAGCACGCATCTGAGAGCGCTAGTTGCGAGAGCAGCAGGCGAGCGGGAAGGGGCGAGTGGAAGCAAGCGAGGGGCTCGAGCGCTCGAGCTCGCTGCCACGTCGGCCGGCGCTCGGCGTCTTGCGCTCGCACGCTCGCCCGTACATAGCTGCAGTGCGAGAGCAAGCAGGTGAGAGAGCAACCGACAGCGAGGAACGAGGAGAGCGCGAGGCCGAGTCGTCGCCTTCCCAAGTCGACCTCGCTCGTCGTCTTTGCGCTCTCGCGCTCTCGTCGCTCATGCTCGGCCTCTGCCTCGCTCGTGCTCGACACGAGAGTGGCTTGCTCACCCGCACGCACGTGCTCGAGACGAGGGCGACGAGGTGCAGCGACGAGAGAGCTTGCGGTTCGAGCCGGTTTCGCAACGATACGGGGCTCGAGCGCGACGTGCATGTCCGCCCACGCGAGGCGGATCTTGCCGCAGGGAGGGCAGCAACACGACGTACTCACGAAGGAGGAAAGGCGGGCGAGCGACGAGACTAGCGAGGTGCAAGGGGGATCGTGAGCGAGAAGGAGCTTTCGAGAGCTCTCGTGGCGGCCGACAGAGGACAGCGAGGCGCACGCTCGAGACGGTGCACGAAACTGGTTGCAGGCACGCCGTCTACGAGTCCAGCACCTCCTCGCCCGCACCTTGAAAGCTGGCAAGCGCACGCTCGATCCTCGGTTCGTTCGAGCCGGCGCCCGCCCGGATCCACGCGTACATGCGGTCGCAGCTCGGCTCCCAGTAGCTCTTGAGCTCGTCGGTCTGCCCTCGGACGAGGCTGACCTGGAGCAGGGGGCTCGTGATGAGGACCTTGTGCTGCACGAGGCTGAACCAGGTCGACTCGTCGACCTCGACGCCGATGTACAGCGCCTCGAGCTTGAAACAAATCTGACGCAGGATGCTTGCCGACGGCGGCGCCACCATGTAGACCGCAAAGCGGTTCGTCTCGCCGGCAAAGACGCGCTCCAGGTCCATCTCGAGGGGCGAGTCGAGCCGGCCGTGCTTTTGCCCCGCGTAGACCGCCCGGACCCGGTGCACGATCAGGTTCTTCTTGCGTATCTTGCTCGTGAGGTACCTGTTGCCGGTGAGCTCGCCCAGAATCGCCTGCGCGTACCGTGTCGGAAGGTCAGGCACGAGCTCTGGTGCGAAAACGAGGACGGAGCGGGCGCACCTTGGCTGACCGATCGCTCTGGCTGAGGTGGACGACCTCCTGGCCCAACGTCACCCGCGAGACCGGGTTGACCCCACCCAGGTGGCCTCGGGCCCACGCGACCTCCTCGTCGGCGAGCGGCATGACGGCGAACGGGTGAGCTTTGCCGGGCCCGCAGACCGTCTTGTGCGCCGGCCAGACCTGTGGGCAGTTTCTGGGTCAGCTCAGGCTCTTCAGGAGAGGTCGAGAGAGTGGACGCACAAGTTTCTGGTGGTCCTTGCCGCAGAAGAAGAGCGAGATGCCGGCCTCGACGCACGCCGAGCAGCGCCGAGTCGTCTCGACGCCGCAGACCTCGCACGGTTGCGGGACTGGCTCGGGAGACATGGATGATCGATGCAGAAGATGAAGAAGCAGGCTGGACCTCGGCAGCGGTGCCGGTCGAGTTGGTGGGAGGAGGAGGAGGGAGGACGAGAGCCGCGTCCGCCAAGTCCAACCTCTGGCTCCTCACCTGCCCTCGTCTCGCCCCTTGCTGGCTCAGAGACGCCATCAACTGCCTCAGCAGACTTCTCAAGACCGCCTCCGAGTACCAGCACACCGCCCCACGCCGTCCTCGCCTCTCCAGCTCGCCTCATCAGTGCCGAGCACACACCCCCTCCACGACATCATCCTCATCGTCCTACCTGCGAGATGAGCTCCGAGTGGGACCAGACGTGCCTCGTGTGCGGCATCAAGACCGAGAACCGGTGCTCGAGCTGCGCCAAGGCCGGCATCGACCTCTTCTTTTGCTCCCCCGACCACCAGAAGCTCGTGCGTCCACCTTCTCTCTCCCTCTCCCTTCCTCGTTCTGTGCGCCGGAGCCTGATCATCTCAGTCGATGCCCACGCAGGTCTGGAAGGCGCACCGTCGCGTCTGCGGGCCGGGCAAGGCCAACCCGTTCATGTGGCCGCTCCTGTCGCAGCTCGAGGCCGACGAGATCATCGAGCACATGCACGACATCATCGTTCCCTTCGCGCTGCGCAACTCCGAGATGGCGACGTTGGCAGGAGCCATGTGCCGCTTCTTGGACATCGACCCTGAGCAACTCAAGGTGCGCTGCGGCTGCTTCCCTCTCTCTGTCTCCCCTCTCTCCGTCTGAGCCACTCCTGACCTGCGCACCCGCGGTTTACTCCTGCAGTCTCTCGTACGCTACCTCGTCATTGGCGCAGAGCGCCCGCTCGGGGACACTACCGAGCTTGACCAGCTCATGCTCGCAAAGCTTCGGGCTTTCGAGCCGGCGCGCCGGGCGCGAGTGCTCGACGCCCAGTTCATGAGCGTGCCGTACCTTGACCCGATCACGGCCACGGCGCACCATGACGTCCTTGTAGCCCACACGAGCCCAGAGGGCAACGAGCCGTGGCGCACCGAGTACCGGCACCTCATGCTCGTGCAGCTGTTCCTCGGCCAAACCCCTCCCGTTGAGTGGTTCGACCGCATCTTTGCGCGGTCCAACGCGTTTGTGCGCACCGAGATCGAGCCGCAGCACCCTCGAACTGCCGAGAAGCTGCTCATGCAGGGGCCGGCGAGCGAGATCCTCGCCGAGCGGCTGAGCCAGTACAACCTGTAGCGTTCCACCGCGCAAGGACAGCGAGACGTCGAGCATGTGCGACTGTGTCGAGTGCGAGCAGAGAGGCGAGCGTGCTTCGAGAGCAAGCTCTCGAGCGCCGTCGGCGCGAGCGCGAGCCTTGAGCTCAAGTTTCCTGCGCTTCGAGCGGACGAGAGCAGCTCGCCCGTCCAGGCTTGCTGCGGTACAGCGCGAGTATAGAGGACAAAGCGACTGGGCGAGATCGGCCCTTGAGAGAAGCAGAGCGCGAGTTACGTTGCGCCCTTCCGTCGACCCGATCCTCCTCTTCCTCGACGCATCCTGCCTCGCCGAGTGACGCTCGACGAGCATGTCGAGGCCGTGCATGAGGTCGACGGCGAACGATTCGCGCAGCAAGAGGGCAAGCGAGCGACGAGCGAGCGAGAGCCGAATCGAGGAGGGGCTCGAGCGCCCGCGCTCGCTGCGTCGACTGCTCTTTCTCGCGCGCTCGGCTCCATCTCTCGCACTCTCTGCTCGATCTGAAGAGCGACGACAACGAGACATGCGGGCTTGCTCTGCACAAGATCGACTTGCAGCTGCGCCGCCGAGCAGAAGGAGCAGGACCGGGCTCGAGCTTTCTCCTCTCTCGAGCACGACAACCAGCATCGACAACCGCTCTCTACGTTGCACGATCCGACACACACACTCTACCTGACCTTCCACGCCTGGGCCCCGACGCCCTTCTTGGCCCCGTCCCTTCCGAGCACCTCCCAGCTCGCCTCGACGACGAGCTCCCTCGAGTTGTCCGGGTTCTTGTCGAACCTGATCGTGCCCTCGAGCCGGTCGCCAACCTCGACGCCCGTGATCGGGTCGCGCAGGACGAGGAGCGTCTGCTTCCAGTGCGTCGGCGTGTCCCACGCGCCCGTGGTGAAAAAGTGCTCGCCGGGCTCCGAGGCCGACGCGGCGCGTGCTGGGGGCGAGAGGAGGCGAGGGGAGGGGGTGAAGAAGGTGTCGAAGTGGGCGACGAGGGCGTGGAGGGTCATGGAGGGGGAGGAGGGCGAGGGCGAGGAGGAGGGGAGGCGCGTGATGGGGAGGATGAAGGGGGACGAGAAGGACAGCGAGGCGGCCGTCGCCGTTTGCGTGTAGATGTCCTGCGGGGCGAGGAGGGTCAGTAACCTCGAGAGAAGGACAGAGAGAGAACGAGAGGGACGCACAGCGATCGACACCTCGTCGCTGACGACCTCGCCCTGGTCGACCACCTCGATGATGGCCTCGTCCTCGATCTTGTCCTTCATGGCTCGCATGTCGAACCCGTACACGCTGTCCCAGAACGCGACGCGGTCGGCGTACCACGGGGCGCCGGCAAAGGCCGACACGAGGATCGACGTCTGCGAGGGCACCATGAGGCCGTCCGGCTGGAGGTACTTGTCGCGCGCGTACAGGACCGAGTCGAGCATGCACTCGTACAGCAGGCAGTAGCCCTGTGTGCGCGGGGCAAGGGACGAGAGTCAGAATCTCGCTCGGGCGCAACGAGGCGAGGAAAGAGAAAGAGAGAGAGAGAGCGCGAGACGCACCATCCATTCCGAGATGATGACGTCGACCTTCTCCGGGATGTGGATCTCCTCGACCTTGCCCTTGATGACCTCGATCGTGCGCTCGAACCCGTTGGCCTTGACGTTGCGCACGGCCTTGTACGCGACGTTGCTCGCGTCGACGGCGTACACCTTGCGGGCGCCGGCCTGGGCCGCAAACATGGACAGGATCCCGGTCCCGCACCCGACGTCGAGCACGACCTTGTTCTCGAACCGCGCGCGGTTGGCCGGGTCGACGATGAAGGAGCGGTACGCGAGCGTGCGGACGCGGTCCTTGAGCATGACCTCGTGGATGTCTGGTTCGCGGGCGGCGGTCAGTGACACGCTCGGGCGGACGAGAGGGGGGAGAGAGAGAGACGCACCGTTGTACTGGTACGACTCGAAGTAGTGGTCGTCGTCCTTGTGCACCGCCTCGCCGTCCTTGTTGCCGTCGCCCTCGTCGGCGGCGCCATCTCGCTCCTTGGCCTTGCCCTTGCCGTCCTCGACGACGACCGTCGCACCGTGGTCCTGGGCCGCCTCGTCGAGGCCCATGACGCCGCCGAGGCGCGAGCGCACAATCTTGCGCAGCTGGTCGTTGGCGGCCTGGGCGTCCGACAGCTGGGCGCGCAGGGCGTCGACGAGGTCGGACGCGGTCGGGTCGAGGGACGCGCCTGGTGCTGCGGGGACGGAGGAGGAGGACGAGGCGGTCGGGGCGGGTGCGGAGGAGGACGAGGGCGCGGCGGCCGAGAGGCTCAGCGAGTCGAAGTCAAGCTCTGCGGGGGAGGGTACGAGCGAGGTCAGGGCGAGGTCCCTCGGGCGAGAGAGAGAGTGGGAGGGACGCACGGAGAAGCGCATCGTCCTCGATGACGGGCTTGAGGTACTGGTCGTCGTCGAGGAAGGCGGCGTTGCGGTCGAGGCGGCGCAGCGAGGCCGGGTCGGGCTTCTGCGGGCGGGGGTTCCTTGCGCGTCAGGGAATGCGACCGGGCGTGTGTAGGAGGGACAGGAGGAGGGGACGCACGGTGGCCCGGATCCAGTTGATGAGGCGGATGCGCTCGAAGAAGTCTGGGAGGGAGCGGGGTCCGTGAGTGGGTGGGGCAAGTTGAGGGTGAGGGAGGCGTGGGACGGACCGAGGGTGGAAGCGAGGAGGGCAAGGTCGACGCCGTGCGTGTCGCGGTCATGCTCGAGGGCAGCGCGGGCCGACGAGAGCTCGAGGTCGGGGTCGAAGAGGGAGCGAGCCGGCTGGTCGTCCTCTTGCCAGTCGTCGAACGAGGCGTTGCCGTCCGAGGCCGAGTCGTCATCCGAGAGCCAGGCTTGGTCCTGGGAGCTCATGGTGGTGTAGTCGGGCTGTGAGATGAGAGCGAGGCGGTGAGGGGAGGCGCGGCCGAGCTTGATCGCCTCCGGAGAGCCTCGCCTTGTCGCCTCGCTCCCCTCTCCTCCCCCGTGACCCGACTCTTCTCTTCGTGCGTCCCTATCCTCAGCCTCTCGAGTCTGTCCCTCCCACCTCAACACCCCCACCGTCTCGCCCACTCGCGGCGCCGCCCGCAACCACCGACGACGACCCCGCGCCGAGCACATTTGCACGCCCGAGCCACCACCTCGCCCTGCCCCTCCAGCGCACCTGCCACCGTCCTCAGAGCCCTCACTGCACTACGCCGAGCTCGCCCGAACCGCGCCCGAGCTCGCCACGAGGCGGCAGCACTGTCGACGAGCAGCCGCACCCCCTCAAGTGCCCGCGCTGACCTCGCTCCTCTTCTCCTCCTCCTCTCCCTCGCCTCGCCTTGCTGTACACCCACTCGACACACACCCACAGAAAAATGGCCAGCCGTCCCGTCGTTCAGGTTCGTTCGCTCAAGGGCGAGTCGACGAGCACTCTCCCGCTCCGTGCGTCCCCTCTCTCTCTGCGTCTCGGCTCGCCCCGTCCGGCTCTCGCGCTGTGCGGGGCGCGTCGTCGATCCATTGAACCGGGCTGACACGTCGTCGTACCCCCCTCACAGCGGCCGTCTTCACCGCGCCCATCCGCTCGGACGTGGTCGCGCAGATCCACAAGAGCGTCGCCAAGAACCGTCGCCAGCCGTACAGCGTCGCCGAGAACGCCGGTCACCAGACGTCGGCCGAGTCGTGGGGCACCGGTCGCGCCGTCGCGCGTATCCCGCGTGTCGGCGGCGGCGGCACGCACCGTTCCGGCCAGGCCGCGTTCGGCAACATGTGCCGCGGCGGTCGCATGTTTGCGCCGACCAAGGTGTGGCGCAAGTGGCACGTCAAGGTCAACGTCAACCAGCGCCGGTTCGCCGTCGTGTCGGCCGTCGCCGCCACCGCGCTCCCGTCGCTCGTCCTTGCGCGCGGCCACCGCATCGAGGGCGTGAGCGAGATCCCGCTCGTCGTCTCGAACGAGGTCGAGGCCGTCCAGAAGACCAAGGAGGCCGTCGCCGCCCTCCAGGGCCTCCAGGCCCACGCCGACGTGTCCAAGGTCATCGCGTCCAAGAAGGTGCGCGCCGGCCGTGGCAAGAGCCGCAACCGCGCCTTCCGCCAGCGCCGCGGCCCGCTCGTCATCTACAACGAGGACAAGGGCCTCGTCAAGGCGTTCCGCAACATCCCCGGCGTCGAGACGGTCAACGTGCGCTCGCTCAACCTGCTCCAGCTCGCGCCCGGTGGCCACCTCGGCCGCTTCGTCATCTGGACCGAGGCCGCCTTTGCCCAGCTCGACGAGGTCTTTGGCACGTACGACAAGCCGTCGGCCCTCAAGTCGGGCTACTCGCTCCCGATCAACAAGGTCACCCAGACCGACATCTCGTCCGTCATCAACTCGGCTGAGATCCAGGCTGTCCTGTGCGTCCCTCTCTCCCTCTCTCTCCCTCTCCTGCGTCCGGAGCGAGTCCCTGACCGTCGCCCCGATGCACCCACCCACCCACACAGCCGCGAGCAGGGCGCGCCGACGACCAAGAAGGGCGTCGCGCAGAAGAAGAACCCGCTCCGCAACCGCGCCGTCCTGTTCCGCATGAACCCGTACGCCGCGACCCAGAAGCGCATCGCGCACGCCGCCGAGGCCCGCGCCAAGAAGGACGGCAACAAGAAGGCCGGCGCCAAGCAGCCCCTCGAGCGCGCCTCGAAGGAGTTCAAGGCCACCCTCCTCTCGGCGTAAGCTCGCCTCGCTTCATCCAGCAAGTTCGAGCGTGTCGAGGTGCTTGTTGGTCGTCGTTCCCCTCTCCCCTTTGTCCTCGTCCCCCTCTTGCCGTAGCGACCCGACGATGGGCGTTTCTCGTCGCGAGCGGGTGCGGTGCAAAGGGCCAGGCGGCCGTTTTTCAAGCAGCTCTTCTTCTTATCTCGTTGCGCGAGCGAGAGTCAGAGAGAGCTGGAGCAATGTGCGAGAGAGAGGGAGAGGGAGAGGACCTCGACGAGGACGCAAGCGCAGCGTGCACGAGCCTCTCCTCCTCGAGGCGGGGCGGGCCCTCCTCGCTCACTCGCGCTCTCTCTCGCCTCGACCTCTCGCTTCGCCGTCGTGCGCGTGCTGAGCGTGAAGCCTGAAGTAGCGGGAGAAGGCGTCGGCTGCAGGAAAGGGGAGCGGGAGAATGACTCTGCAACATGCTGATCTCGACGATGCTGCTCGACGAGACTCGAGACAGCTGCTCGCGACGACGACCTTGCCCATTGCAGGTGCCCTCTACAGCTCCGTCGCTGCTGCGCGCGCCTTGGCCCTCGCCTCGTCCTTGAGAGCCCGCCTCGCTCTCTTCTCGTGCAGGTACTCGACAATCTCAGGATGCGTGCGGCTGATGACGACGTTCTCAAAGACGATGATGCACTCGCGAGTGAGGCGCCGCCACTCGGCGGGCGGCTCGCGGTGACGAGTGAGGCGGTCGAGGTCGTGCAGAACAATCTTGGCGAGGACAAAGTGGCGGTACTGGGTGCGCCAGGGCTCGGTGCCGTACTCCTTGTTGGTCGCGACGATGAAGTCGTGACCGACGAGAGCTTTGAGGGCGTCGATCGGCGGCGAGGAGCGCTTGTACAGTGTGTGCTTGATGCGCATGGTCTCGTACGCGCGCACGCACGCAAGCACGGTCTGCTGAGCGGCCAGATGGCCGTCCCAAATGGACATCGGCGCACCCTCGGTGACCTTGGGGACGATGTACTGGGTCACAAGAGGAAGGCGAGTCAGTCCAGCTCGAGGCAGGCCGTTTCGCGCGACAAGGCGAGGGTGGACGACCTACGGCAAGCTTTTCCGGCGAGAGACGGAGGCTGTATTGTACGCCCTCGGCGACCGTCGAAGGACCTGGGCCAGGCTCGGCGAACGTGCCGGTCGACTCGTGCATGTGCTCGATGATCTCGTCGGCCTCGAGCTGCGACAGGAGCGGCCAGATGAACGGATTGGCCTTGCCCGGCCCGCAGACACGGCGGTGCCATTTCCACATCTACGGAAGACGAGACGATTAGCTCGAGGTGCCGGAAGGGGAGAGAGGGAGAGAAGTTGGACGCACGAGCTTCTGGTGGTCGGGAGAGCAGAAGAAGAGGTCGATGCCGGCCTTTGCGCAGCTCGAGCAGCGGTTCTCGGTCCTGATGCCGCACACGAGGCACGTCTTGTCCCACTCGGAGCTCATCTCGAAGGTCGGATGATGAGGGTGATGTCGTGGAGGGGGTGTGTGCTCGGCACTGATGAGGCGAGCTGGAGAGGCGAGGACGGCGTGAGGCCGGGTGCTGGTACTCGGAGGCGTGTTCGAGAAGTCGGCTGAGGCAGTTGATGGCGTCTCTCCGCCAGCAAGGGGCGAGGCGAGTGAGGTTGAGGAGCGAGAGGTTGGACTTGGCGGACGCGGCTCTCGTCCTCCCTCCTCCTCCTCCCACCAACTCGACCGGCACCACAGCCGAGCTCAAGCCTTCTTCTTCATCTTCTGCATCGATCATACATGTCTGCCGAGCCAGCCCCGCAACCGTGCGAGGTCTGCGGCGTCGAGACGACTCGGCGCTGCTCGGCGTGCGTCAAGGCCGGCATCTCGCTCTTCTTCTGCGGCAAGGACCACCAGAAACTCGTGCGTCCCCTCTCTCGACCTCTCCTGAAGAGCGTGAGCTGACCCAGCAACTGCCCACAGATCTGGCCGGCGCACAAGACGGTCTGCGGGCCTGGAAAAGCGCACCCGTTCATGGTCGAGCCGCTCTCCGACGAGGAGGTTGCGTGGGTCCGAGGTGAGCTGGGCACGACAAGCCTGGCATCTGGTGTGACGTTGAGCCAGGAGCTCGTCGACCTCAGCCAGAGTGATCGGTCAGCCAAGGTGCGCCCGCTCCCTCCTCGTCTCTCCTCCAGAGCTCGTGCCTGACCTTCCGACAACGAACGCGCAGTCGATCCTGGGCGAGCTCACGGGCAACACGTACCTTACGAGCAAGATACGCAAGGAGAACTTGATCGTGCAGTGGATCCGGGCGGTCTACGTGGGGCAAAAGCACGCCCGCCTTAACTCGCCCTCGAAGATGGACTTGCAACGCGTCTTTGCCGACAAACCGAACCGCCTCCCGGCCTTCATGACGACGCAGCCGTCGGCAAGCATCCTGCGTCGGATCTATGCCAAGCTCGAGGCGCTGTACATCGGCGTCGAGGTGGACGAGTCGACCTGGTTCAGCCTCGTGCAGCACAAGGCCCTCATCATGAGCTACCTGCTCCAGGTCAGCGTCGTCCGAGGGCATCCCGACGAGCTCCAGAGCTATTGGGAGCTATGCTGCAGCCGCATGTACGCGTGGATCCGGGCGGGCGCCGGCTCGAACGACCCGAGGATCGAGCGTGCGCTTGCCAGCTTTCGAGGTGCGGGCGAGGAGGTGCTGGACTCGTAGACGGCGTGTCTGCAACCATTTTCGTGCACCGTCTCGAGCGTGCGCCTCGCTGTCCTCTGTCGGCCGCCACGAGAGCTCTCGAAAGCTCCTTCTCGCTCACGATCCCCTTGCACCTCGCTAGTCTCGTCCGTCTCCCGCCTTTCCTCCTTGGTGAATACGTCGCTTCGCTGCCTGTCGAGAAGAGCGAACTAGAGGCCTAGTTCGCGCGCCGTCAGGGTGCAAGCGCAGGTACGACGAGCGAGGTCGACTTGGGAAGGCGACGACTCGGCCTCGCGCTCTCCTCGTTCCTCGCTGTCGGTCCCTCTTTCACCTGCTTGCTCTCGCACTGCATCTCTGTACGGGCGAGCGTGCGAGCGCAAGACGCCGAGCGACGGCCGACGGGGCAGCGTGCTCGAGCGCTCGAGCCGCTTGCTTGCTTCGACTCGCCCCTCCTCGCTCGCCTGCCGCTCCCACAACTCGCGCTCTCGGGTCCGTGCTCGCTCAGACTCGCTCGAGGCTCTCGATAGACCGAAACGGAGGAGGAACGATGGTAAGGGAGACGTGGCAGCGTTGCACAAGGTCCTCGCTCTACGAAAAGGATGTCAGGTTCCGCTAAAGTGCTCACGCGCCGTGGGGGAGCAGGGCGCGCGAGTGTGGACGGGCCTTGTGGATCTTCCAGACCCTTGTTGATGGCCTGCTCCCATAGACCACGCCCGGGCCATCCAATCAAGCACGACTGACGGGCGCGTCTGTCCGAGGACAGAGGGAGAGGACAGGCATGCGCTGGTGAGGTGAATGAGGAGGAGAGACAAGGGAGGAAGGAGAGGGGGAGAGAGAGAGAGTGAGCGCGCAGACGGAGAGAGAGAGAGGAGGGCGCACGTCGGGAAGGCGCGAGCGAGAAGGCCCGAGACGACGTCGACGCCGAGGCAGAGACCAGAAGCGGTGTAGCCGGACAGCCTCGCGAGGACCTCGAGGAGGGCGCACGCTCACGAGGCGAGCGCCGTCGATGGCGACAACAGGTGGTACTGCAGGAAGGGAGGACGAGATCCTCAGATCTTGGCCATGGCGGCAACGTCCGACGACTGCGAGAGAGAGACGAGGCGAGTCGGGTCGAGAGGTCGAGAGCACCCGCGAGAGAGAGAGAGACAGAGAGAGAGAGAGAGAGAGAGAGAGAGAGAGAGAGAGAGAGAGAGAGAGAGAGAGAGAGAGAGAGAGAGGCAGCGAGTCACGCACGCACAGAGAGGTCCTCGAGCGTCATCCCGCCCGGCCCGCCGCCCTCCCTCGCCCTCGCCTTCTTGGGCAGTCCGTCTCGACGGGGGACGAGTCCAGATACCGAGCCAAATCGAGTGGGGGGACCGCGCTAGCGAGGACAAGGTGCTCGCCGACGAAGGGAGAGCCCATGCGGCGACGGGCCTCCTCCCGCTCGCGGCCCGGCAGAGCGAGCCCTGGGCTCGAGCAGCCACCGCGCGCTCGTCGATGTCCCTCCCATCGACCGCGCACGAAGCGAGCCTGCCCGACTGCCCCACCTCCGAGCGCGACCGCGGCAGGTGGAGAGACGGAGAGAGGCGAGACGAGGAAGCGTCCGACCCGCCGCCGCATTGTCTGCTTCGCCAGAGCGCACCGCCGACCTGGCAAGCTGATCGGGCGGCCGCACTGAGGCCGAGCGAGGCGAGCGTTGGCGGGCGAGGAGGGGCGAGGGAAGGAGGCGAGCGTGTGCCAGTGGCCAGCCCCGCTCGCGCTGCAGGTGCACGTAGGCGAGAGCAAGAGAGTGGCACTCCTGCTTGCGCGCTCTGGAGCGTGACGAGAGCGTGGTCGAGAGCCGAGCCGTGAACCTCATCATCGACACAAGCGGGGAGGGCTGCTTCTCCTCGACCACAGCCTCGCTCGACCAGCTAGAGCGCGCAGGCTACTCTGCGAGCATGACTCTGCCGTCGCCGCTCATCTTCAGTGCGTCCCACCCTCCCCTCGCCTCGCTCCGAGTCGCCCTTCCCCCGCCCCGCCTCGTGGTCCTCTCCCCGGCTGACCCTCGCCCGTCCTCGCGCGACAGTCCCCAAGAAGGCCACGCAGGATGTCGACTTTGCCCCGACATTGCGCACCGTCATCCACAAGTCCTACTCCGAGTCGCCTGACGCCTACACCGACGAGATCGCCGCCCTGAATCGCGCTCGCCAGGACGCACTTCGCGGCTCGGCGGGCTCGGACGCCACGGCCCGCGACCTGCTGTACAAGTACTTTGGCCAGCTCGAGCTCCTCGAGCTGCGCTTCCCCGACCTGCGCGTCCCGTTCCCATGGTGCGTCCCCTCTCTCTTCCCTCGTCCCCCTCGCCGAAGTGGGGGTCGCACAGGCTGACCACCTCGACGCACACGCAGGAGCGACGCCTTTACGCACGTCAAGATCTCGCAGCAGTCGCTCGCGTACGAGAAGGCGTCCGTCATCTTCACCATCGGCGCGACGCTCGCCTCGCTCGCCGCATCGTCGCCCCGCTCGGCGCCCGAGGGCCTCAAGCGCGCCTTCCACGCCTTCCGCGCCGCCGCCGGCATGTTCGTCTACATTAACGACAACTTCTTGCATGCCCCGTCGACCGACCTGAGCAAGGACGTCGTCAAGCTCCTCGTCGGCCTCATGACGGCCCAGGCGACCGAGGTCTTCATCGAGACGATGGGCCCGGCCACGGCCAAGGGCGCCGGCCTGCGCAGCAAACTGTGCATGCAGGTGTCGGCCGCGTACGCCGGGCTCGTCGAGGAGGTCAAGGAGTGGGTCGGCAAGGGCGTCTTCCTTCGCGAGTGGAGCCTCCTCATCCAGGTCCGTCGACTCTCCCGGTCTCCTTTCCTCGCTCTTTCCTCGACAAGACAGACGCAGGACCTGACTCTCTCTTCTCGCCACAGGCCAAGGCCAAGTACTTTGCGTCGCTCGCCCAGTACCACCGCTCGGTCGCCGACAACGCGGCGGGCAAGTACGGCGAGGCGCTCGCGCGGCTCCAGGTGTCCGAGGCGGCCGCCAAGGAGGCGCACCGCCTGTCGCAGACGTTCACGACCTCGTTCTCGACGACATCGACCGCGACCTCGCTCGCGCCCGACGCGCCCGTCGCCCTCGCCGAGCTCACCAAGGCGCACCTCGCCCTCGTCACCGAGGCGGCCGCCAAGGCGCAAAAGGACAACGACATCGTGTACAACGAGGTCGTCCCGTCCGAGGCGTCGCTCTCCGCCATCGACAAGGGCAAGGCCGTCGCCGAGCCGATCCCGATCCACGACGTGTACGCGACGGCCGACGTGCAGAAGATTGTCGGGCCCGACCTCTTTGCGCGCCTCGTCCCGCTGTCGGTCCACGAGTCGGCGTCGCTCTACTCGGAGGAAATGGCCAAGCTCGTGCGCGCCGAGGCCGAGCGCGCAGAGCTCGCCGACGAGGAACTCGCGTCGGCCCTCGAGTACATGGGCCTGCCCGCCTCGCTCGCCCGGTTCCAGTCGGGCGCCGCAGCCCAGTCGTCGCTCGCCGACCCGGGCCCGCAGGTCCGCGGCTGGGCCGACGAGGTCCGCGCCGGCGAGGCCTCGTCGTCGTCGACCCGCGCCGACGAGTCGTTCCGGCGCCTCGCCGCCCAGCGCGACAGCGCGTCGCGCACGCTCGACAGCGTCGCCTCGGCGCTCGACGCCGAGTCGCGCGAGTGCGAGGCGCTCCGAGCGCGGTACGGCCATCTGTGGACCCAGTCCCCGTCGTCGAGCGCCACGCGCGGCTTCCGGGCCGACCTGCGCGCGCACCGCGAGAGCCTCGACGCGGCGGGCAGGTCGGACCAACAGGCGCGCGCGCTGTGGGACCAGGTGCGGCGCGACGTGGGCGTGCTCGCCGACCCGAGCGGCGACGCGCTCGAGCGGGCGTACGCCGAGGCGATTGGCGGGGCGGGCGCAGAGAAGGACCTGCTCGACGATGACGGCACCGAGGAGGAGGAGGAGACCAAGCGCAGGGTCGCAGAGGTGAGCGACGCGCTGAGTCGGCTCAACAAGATCAAGCGCGAGCGCGGCGAGGTCTTGCGCGACCTCAAGGACAAGGTGCGTCCTCTGCTCCTCTCTCTCTCTCTCTCTCTCTCTCTTTCTCTCTCTCTCCCTCTCGGTCCCTCTCCCGTTTACTCGATACTGACCCTCGCCGTACGGCCCACAGGTCCAAGCCGACGACATCTCGCACATCCTCATCCTGAACCGCAAGGGCGCCGCCGACGTCCAGCCCGCCCTGTTCGCGACCGAACTCGAGAAGTTCCGCCCGCACCAGCAGCGCCTTACGCAGACGCTCCAGGCGCAGCAGTCGACGCTCGCCGATGTCAACTCGGCGTTCAAGGCCCTGAGCGAGGGCACCAAGGCGCGCCAGGTCCAGGGCCAGTGGGCCGCCGCCGAGCGCAAGAAGAAGGACCTCTCGAGCCGGTTCGGCCACGCGGCCCAGGTGTACGCCGACGTGCGCCAGGCGCTCGACAAGGGCTCGCAGTTCTACGGCGACCTGCTCGAGCTCGTCGAGGGCCTCCAGTCGCAGGCGAGCTCGTGGCTCGCCGGGCGCACGTCTGAGCGGGACCGACTCGCGAGCGAGGCCGACCTCAAGCAGCGGCTCGAGGGCGGCGGCGGCGGGTCGTCGTCGTCGGCAGCGTCGCCGGGTGGGCTCGACCGCGCCATGGGCGCACTCTCGCTCGGCGGCGCTCGCTCGCCGCCGCCCAACTTGTCGTACCCGTCGCCCTCGCCTCAGCCGTCGTACCCAAACCCGTCGTCGCACGCGCAGTACCACCAGCCGTCGCCACCGCCGCCGCCGTCCAACCCGTACGGCGCCCTGCCGTCGTCGGGCGCCTTCTCCACCGGCAGCACGTCGCCGTACCAGAACCGCGCACCGTCCTACCCCTCGCCGGCGCCGCCCGTTCCTCCACCTGCGCCATACGGCGCCTCGTCGTCCTACTCGACCGCGCCGGCCCACTCGCCGTACGGCCAGCCGCAGCAGCAGCGCCAGCCGTCCGTCCCTCCCCCTCCTCCCACACCCTCGACACCCTCGTACCTCCCGCCGCCGCTCAAGCCCGTCTCGTACGCCTCGTCGCCCGCCCACCAGCCGTACGGCCAGCCGCCGAGCAACCCGTACGCCTCGCTGCCGCCACCACCGCCTCAGCACCAGCAGTACTCGTACGGGCAGCAGCAGCCGCCGCCGCCGCCGCAGCAGCACGGCCAGCCGGCATATGGAGGACCGCCGGCACCGCCGCAGCCGCCGAGGGCGCCGCCGAGGCCGTACTAGATGGGCGCGAGCGCACGTCGTGGACGTCGAGGAGGGAGAGCAGGTCGGCAGGAGGGATGCGGCCGCGCTCGAGGACAGTTGAGCCTGTAACGAGCCGCTGCGGAGCATCTCTCAGACTCGTCCCGGCGGCCGAGAGTGCTGGGAGTGAGAGAGCCTCGCCTCGAGCCGCCTTTCGTTCGGCCTCTGGTCACCGCGAGTCCGCCGTCGAGAGAACAGTTCAGCGTAACGCAGCGCCCACTACTGAGCGACAAGAGAGCGTGTCTGAGAGTTTTCTCGGACCCCCGCGAAACGATGAGGTTGTCCTCGCTCGCGCTCGTCGCCCTCCTTCCTCCTCACCCAGCTCGCCCTCGACAGCTTAGACTTCTAGAGCCATGAGCGACTACAGCGTCAAGACCGTCCCGACCAAGGCCTACCAGGACCAGCGGTGCGTCGCTCGCTCTCGCCTCTCTCGAGCTCCCCCACCCCACGCCCCCTCCCACCTTCGTCACTCGACTCTCCTCGCCGTCCGACCGCAGCGCGGGTGGTGCGAGCACCTCGATCCTCTGCGATGACTCCTTTGGACGACTCGTGCGAGGCGGCATGGCCCGCAGAGCGGTCCTGACCTCGTTGCCTCCCCCTCCCCCTCTTGCAGCCCCGGTACCTCTGGCCTCCGCAAGCGGTGCGCACCTCTTTCTCTTCTCTCGGCCCGCACGAGCGAATCAACTGACCTCTCAAGCCTGCCCGCAGCGTCCCCGTCTTCAAACAGGAGAACTACACCGAGAACTTTGTCCAGTCGATCCTGTCGTCCATCCCCGGCGGGCCCAAGGGCACGACGCTCGTCGTCGGCGGCGACGGCCGCTACTACAGCGAGGAGGTGACGCAGAAGATCATCCAGCTCGCGGCGGGCAACGGCGTGTCCAAGCTCGTCATCGCGCGCGACATCATCTTCTCGACCCCGGCCATCTCGCACGAGATCCGCGCGCGCAAGGCGACCGGCGGCATCCTCCTGACGGCGAGCCACAACCCCGGTGGACCCAACGCGGACTTTGGCATCAAGTACAACATGGACAACGGCGGTCCCGCCCCCGAGTCGGTCACGGACGCCATCTACGAGTCGAGCAAGACCATCACCGAGTACAAGCTCGTCGACCTGCCCGCCGTCGACCTGTCCAAGCTCGGCGAGACCAAGGCCGGCCCGCTCTCGATCGAGGTCATCGACGCCGTCAAGCCCTACGTCGCGTTCCTCAAGACCATCTTTGACTTTGACGCGATCAAGAGCTACGTCCAGAAGGACGACGTCTCGGTCCTGTTTGACGGCCTGTCGGGCGTCACGGGCCCGTACGCGCGCGACATCTTTGTCGACGAGCTCGGCCTCGACGAGTCGGCCATCCAGAACTGCGAGCCGTCGCCCGACTTTAACGGCGGCCACCCGGACCCCAACCTGACGTACGCCCACTCGCTCGTCGAGGTCGTCGAGAAGAAGCAGATCACGTTTGGCGCCGCGTCGGACGGCGACGGCGACCGCAACATGATCTATGGCGCCGGCGCGTTCGTCACGCCCTCGGACTCGGTCGCCATCATCGCCGACTGGGCCGAGTGCATCCCGTACTTCAAGGAGGGCGGCGTCAAGGGCCTCGCGCGCTCGATGCCGACCTCGACCGCGCTCGACCGCGTCGCCAAGGCCAAGGGCATCGAGTACTTCGAGGTCCCGACCGGTGCGTCCCACCTCTCGCTCGCCTCTTTCTCTTGAGCGCGCCTTTCTCGTCAAGGCGACCTCGTACTGATGTACCTTGAGGAACTGCCCGCACAGGCTGGAAGTTCTTCGGCAACCTCATGGACGCCGGCCGGCTGTCGATCTGTGGCGAGGAGTCGTTCGGCACGGGCTCGGACCACATTCGCGAGAAGGACGGTCTGTGGGCGGTCGTCGGTGCGTCGGGTCCTTCCTCTCCTATCGTGCGCGGCGCTGCCTCGTGCAGAAGGCGGCGTCGAGCTGCGGTGGAGGGTTGGGAACTGACCCTCGCTTCGTTCGTCGCGCGCAGCATGGCTCAACATCCTCGCGGCGGCCGAGGACAAGGGCATCAAGGGCATCAAGGGCCTCCTCCTTGACCACTACTCGAAGTACGGGCGCACCTTCTTCTCGCGGTACGTCCTCGCCTTCGTCCTCTCCTTCGCGCCGCCCGTCCTCCTCCCGTCGCCGCCGACGCGCCCGCTCACTCTGCCCTTCTCGCGCCCGCAGCTACGACTACGAGGAGGTCGAGTCGGACGCGGCCAACAAGGTGATCGCCGAGCTCGAGCAGGCGTTCAAGGGCGACGGCTTTGTCGGCTCGTCGCTGTCGGCCACGTCGTCGTCGAGGTCGTTCAAGGTGGCCGAGACGGGCAACTTCACCTACACGGACCCGATCGACCACTCGGTGTCGAAGAACCAGGGCCTGTACGTCACGTTCGACGACGGCTCGCGCTTTGTCGTGCGCCTGTCGGGCACTGGGTCGCAGGGCGCGACGATCCGCCTGTACGTCGAGAAGTACAGCAGCGACGAGAAGGAATACGACGCCGACACGCAGGAGGGCCTCAAGCCCCTCATCGAGGTCGCGCTCAAGCTCTCCAAGCTCGTCGAGCACACGGGCCGCAAGGAGCCGACCGTCATCACTGTGCGTCCCCCATCGTCCTCTCCTCGCCCTCGTCTCCCTCTGTGCGACCCTTACTGACGTTTTCCTCCTCTGCCTCTCACAGTAAGCGGGCAGCACCTCCTGCCTCGCCTTCCTCCTCTCGCCCCACCTCTCTCTCTCTCTTTCGTAGCGCCCTCTCGCAGTCGCAGCAGTGCCAAAACCACCACCTTCGTATTCTCCCTGCGCGCTCGCGTCGTCGTTGTCGAGCAAGAGAGACGACAAGCGCTCGCTCGCTCGAGAGAGGCTCGTGCGCAAGTCTACGTCCGCTCGCCGAGTCGCCGACCGCGGACGGACGCACGAGCCCGCCGACGTCGAGACGCGTCGTGGCGCTCTTGCTCGCTCCTCCTGGTCGCCCTCCTCCCCTCCACCCACCACACCACCCACGGCTACCATGGCACCGGCTGCACAGATCTACTCGCACCCTGCGCCGTCCCTTCCGCCGGCCGACCTCAGCGAGCCGCGCTTCCTCCCCGACGACCAGACCTGTGCGTCCTAGCTTCTCACTCTGCACTCTCGTCAGTACTCACCCTTCTGTCGGCGCACACAGTCATCCCGGAGCGCATCGACGACAACGAGTGCACCGTGCGTTCACCTCACTTCTCGCGTGGGTCAGCTCCAACCTCTCGCTCATTGACTGCGTCCGCCCCTGCAGCCGACAGGCCTCTTCTACTTGACCAAGTTCCGAGGCTGTTCTACCGTCCTGCTGGTCCGCCACGAGGACTTCGTGTTCGTCCCTCGTTCCTCCGTTTCCTTCTCCCTTCCCGGCAAGCCTGACCCTAACCCTCACTTCCTCGCCACGCAGCGACTATCCCGAGCTCGTCGAGGCGTACTGGAAGCGCGACGACGTTCCGCACCACGAGCGCCACCCGTGGGGCAGCAAGGAGCTCATCGAGGGCAAGAAGCAGTACGACGAGAAGCTCGCTGCGGCCGCGAAGGAGGAGGCTGAGCGCAAAGCGGCGGCAGCGGCGGCGGCGCCGGTTGTCGAGGACGAGCCTGAGGAGCCCTCGTCGCCCGAGAGCGAGGGACCGACGATGAGCGAGGAGGAGGAGGAGGAGTAGCAGGCGAGAAGGTGCAGCGAGCTTGCGTTTGGACCTCGAAAACCGTTCCGGCTCCGGCGAGCGAGAGACTCGCGCTCATTGCTCTCTCTGTCTCGCACCTCTCGCGAACAGCTCTCTCGAGAGCTCGCCGAAAGCGGCCGACCTCGCGACCAGGGTCGAGCGCGGCGAAAGTGGGATGCGATGCAGCTTAGGAACCGTCCTCGAGAGCTACAACAGGAGGAGAGGGAGAGAGAGGGAGTGGGAAGGATGCACGACAAGGTCTGTGAACAAGTGCGGAGAGAGAGGGGAGCATATGTACGTGAGGAGGGAGGAGAGAGGAGGGAGGGAGGGTGGAGAAGGAAGAGGGGGAGCGAGCCGATCGACTACTTGGTGTGGCTCTGGAGGCGGCGCAGCGGCGCCGTCGACGCGTGCTCGGGCACCTCGGCGACGACAAAGTCGAAGCCGGCACGCTCGGCCGCAGGCGTGCCCGACGAGGTGCCGTTCGACGTGCTCGAGGTGCGGCGGTTCAGGGCGCTCGTCTGCGGCTGGAGGACACGCAGGATAGTCTCTTCGAGGACGTGGCTCCGGACGGGCTGCAGGGATACGAGGGCAGTCAGGAGGCGAGCTCGAGAGCGCGAGGAGGGGAGAGAGGGAGGGAGAGAGGGCGCACCTTGGAGAGGTAGCCGTCGGCGCCGTGCGCCATGAACTTCTCCTCGTCGCCCTTGAGCGCCGACGCCGTGAGAGCAATGACCCTGACGTTGGCGACGCGGGTGAGGGACGACTTGCGCATGCGGACCAAGGTCTCGAGGCCGTCGATGCCGTCCATCTGGTTGTCGAGGATGACGAGGCTGTACTGCTTGCGCGTCACGGCGTCGAGTGCGTCGTAACCGTTGCTCACGTTGTCGACGTTGAAGCCCACTGCAGGAGAGCGAGAGAGGAGAGGGGAGAGAGGTCAGTAAGGGCACGAAGAGCACGAGGACGAGAGGAAGGGACAACGACGCACTCTTGGACAGCAGTTTCGAGATGATGATGCGGTTCAGCTCGTTGTCGTCGACCACGAGGAGCCAGATCGACTCTTTGCGGAGCGTCGTGGCAAAGTCGGGCTGGTCGGGCGCCGTCTGCTCGACGAGCTCGTCGGGCACCTTGGGCATCTTGAGGACGACCGTCATCTTGCTGCCGACGCCGTACTCGGACGTGAGGCTGATCGTGCCGCCCATGAGCTCGATCAGGTTCTTCGAGATGGACAGGCCGAGGCCGGCGCCGCCAAAGAGGCGCGAGGTCGACACCTCGGCTTGGCTGCAGGCGGGGCGCGAATCGAGGTCAGGCTCTGTACGACTCGGCCGCAGAGAGAAGGGCGAGAGAGAGAGACGCACTGGAATGGCTTGAAGAGGCTCGAGATGGCCTCCTTGCGGATGCCGACGCCCGTGTCCTCGACCTCCCAGCGGACCGTGATGCTCTCGCTGTCCTCGGCGACGCGCTTGGCGCGCAGCGTGATCGAGCCGACCTTGGTGAACTTGATGGCGTTCGACAGGACGTTGTTGAGGACCTGGCGCAGGCGCGGCATGTCGCCGATGACGGACGAGCTAAAGTCGTCGACGTCGTCGCGGAACTCGAGCCCCTTCTTCTTGGCGGCGGTCGAGAACAGGCGCACGTCGGCCGACAGGTCGTTGAGGTCGAACGGCCGGTTCTCGAGGTCGAGCTTGCCCGCCTCGACCTTGCCCATGTCGAGGACCTGGCCGATGAGGTCGAGCAGGACGTCGCCCGAGCGCAGGATCTGCGACGCGAGCGTGCGCTGCGAGTCGCTCAGCTGCTCGGCAAGGAGGAGCTCGCCGAGTCCGAGAAGTTGTGCGACTGCGAGGCAGGGGAAAAGGGATCAGGCGAGGGCGCGAGAGGTAGAAGAGGAGGGAGGGAGGAGGAGGACGCACTCGGGGTGCGCAGCTCGTGGCTCATGTGCGCGAGGAACTCGCTCTTGAGCCGACTCGCCTCGGTCGCCGCCGTCTCGGACGCCTGGAGCTCGGCGCGCTCCTCGTACGCCTGCTGGAGGCGCGCCTGGGTCGACACGAGGTCGCTGATGTCGTGCGCGACGATGATGCAGCCGATGATGGTCGTCTCGCCGTTGCGCGTCTCGGTGAGCGGCGTGAGGAGGCACCGGAACCAGCGGCCTTGCGGCGAGGTCCACTCGGTCGTGCCCTGCGTGATCTTGCCGGTGACGACGTCCTTGTACGCCGCGTAGAAGTCCGGGTCGGGCGACAGGACGAGGAGGTCTTGGCCCTCGATCGGGCCGACGACCTTGTTGTTCTTGAGCATCTGGTCCTTGGTCGCGCCCTCCATGAACGTGATGCGCTGCTCGGTGTCGACGGCGAGGAGGAGGCACCCGGCGCCTTGGACGACGGCGGCGTTCTGCTGCAGGGTCGCGCGCAGCTGCTCGCGCATGTTGTACAGCTCGTGGAAGTCGGTGCAGGTGCCGAACCAGCCCTGGATCTTGCCGTCGGCGTCGCGGTACGGCATGGCGCGGCCGAGGTGCCACCGCCACTCGCCGTCGTGCCGCCGGCACCGGTACTCGACCGAGTACGGCTCGCCCGTCGCGAGCGAGTGGCTCCACGCCTTGAGCGCGGCGGGCATGTCGTCTGCGGAAAGAGGGACACGAGGCAGGGTCAGTGAGCGCTCTTGACGAGGGGCGGAAGAGAGAAGGGGACGCACCCTCGTGGAACGGCGACTGCCAGCCAAGGCCCAGGCTCGTCTCGGGCTCAGACCCGGTGTAGGCGTACTGCAGGGACGAGGCGGGTCAGGATCAGGTTCGAGGCTGGGCGACAAAGAGGGGGAAAGGAGGGAAAGGAGGGACGCACCCAGCTCGCGTTGAAGTAGTTGTGGGAGCCCATGGGCGTCGTGCGCCAGATGAGCTGCGGGATCGAGTCGAGGATCTGCTTGTAGTAGCCCTCGGCGACCGACTTCTTGCGCGACATGCGGCCGTCGGCGGGCGAGCCGCGCTTGCGCTCGACCGTGACGTCGCGCACGACGAGGACGCCGCCGAGGTGGACGCGGGTGCCGTCGGGTCCGGGCGCAAAGATGGGCGCGCTCGAGATCTCGACGATGCGGCGGCGGACGCGCTTCTTGCGTAGACCGAGGAGCTGGGTCGAGGCGGCCATGGTGAACGACTCCTGCTTGAGCGCCGACGACGGCGACGCGGCAGGGGCAGCGCCTGCGGACGGCGCGTCCCACACCTCGACCTCGACGCCGACGACCATGCCGTTGGCGACCTGGCCGGCGAGGACCTCCTCCTCGTCGTCGGCCTCCGGGTCGAGGAGCGGCGGCTGCTCGCCCTTGCGCGCCGTCATCTCGAGGAGCGGCTCGAACGGGTCAATGATGCGCTGCGAGAACGACTCGTCGAAGATCTTGTACGGCTTGCGGTTCGGGCCGCCGAGGCCGCCGGCGGCGACAAACTGCGGCACTTGGTGCGCCATCGACGACGAGCCCGACCCGCCGCTGCTGCTCGTTGCTGACGCGCCGCCGGGGCTGCGTGTCGCCGCAAAGCCCCGCTTACTCGACGAGCTCGCCGTCGAGCTGCCGGTCGGCGGCCCGTTGGCCGCCGCGCCGCCGCCGCCGCCGCCGCCGCCCTGAGCGCTCGCCGCCGCTGCCGCCGCGCCACCGTCCCGCCCGAGCGCCGCCTTCCTGCGCTCGTCCGAGACGAGGCTGCGCGCGAGGATGCCGGCGACCGTCGCGCGGTACCGGTTCGTCTCGCGCGCGTGGCCGATGCGCAGGTTCGTGCCGGCCGTGCCCTCGCCCGACTCGACGCTCGTCGCCTCGCCCGAGGCGATGATCGACTGGTACGTGAGGTCCCTGGCGTCGAACGGGTTGGCGCGCAGGTCGGCGTTGGGCGAGAAGAAGGCCTGCGACGACGACGAGGCCTGGGTCGCGCCGCTCGTCGACGACCACGGCTCCTCGTCGACCGACCACTGGCCCTGGGTCCACCACTCGGCGTCGGCCGCCGCGTCGCTCGTGCCGTCGTTCGAGGGCACGCCCATGAGGAGCTCGCGCGCGAGCGCGTGACGAA